TTTTTGACCTAATGCAGCTTTCGCCGACTTTTGACCGCATGTCCGAAGACAAGAGATTCTCCCTATTATAATATATATTCCTAGAATAAATTAGCAAAATACTTGACACAGGATATGCCGACGCATTCGTACCTTCATCCGTGCATAGCGGCGCAGTCCGCAATCACAACACAACCGATCCTCAGGGCCACCAGAGCTTCCACAACTCGATCATGGTCCGAGGTCAGTTTCGATGATATCCATGACGACTGATTGGGTCGCACAAGCTGAATGTCCTCGCTGTTGCACGCTGCCTCTTGATAGCAAGACCGACGGAGGAAAACCACCTCACTCTGGCTCTTGACCCTTCCATTTCTCTTTCACGGCACTGACATCGAAGCCACAAGCTTCAGCTTTGCTGACAAGTCTTTTAGCTTTCCCAACGACGGGTGCATCGATCATCTTGCCATCCAGCGTCCACGCGCCTCTCCCCTGCTCATCAGCTTTCGCGTCCGCGATCACTACCCTCGCAGCCCACGTCACTTCGTCTTCACTCGGAGCAAAGGCCTTCTGCGCGATCGCGACCTGGTCGGGATGAATGCACTGTTTGCCATTGAAGCCTAGGCCCTTGCCTCCGAAGCACTCCTCTTCCATCACCCTGCTGCCTTCCTCGCCCTTGTAAGAGGTGCACACAAGATCGATGGTAGAGGGCAAATCATGCGCACGACAAGCAGTAGCGATAGCAGACCTCGCATACAGGAATTCAGTCAGGGAAGGCGTGCGAGTCAACGAAAGATCCAAGGCAAAGTCTTCAGCAGCGAAGATGAGACCATCAAGTTGAGCAGCCGTCTCGCAAATCTCACGTAAATTGGAAATCGCTTTGGCAGACTCGATAAGAGCAAGAATTTTGATCTGACGAGGTGAAGACTCCTCAGGACCAGTGAATGTTCGCTTGTGGTTGATGAAGTCAGCAGCCCATTTCAAATCGGAGCTGGAATTCACTTTCGGGATCACAAGGGTGTCAAGATATGGCGCATTACACTGAGGTCCGTCAATTGCTGAAGTGTTGATAGACTACTGAGCTGCCATACCACTGCTTCGATGTCATCGGCCTCGTGACCAGTCCCAACAGCATTGATTCGAACAGCGCACTCTTTGATACCATCTGCACGAGGCTGCTCAAGGAAGTTCCGGATGTTGGACCTCGCTTCGGCCTTCCTATTGATGGTAACGGAGTCTTCGAGGTCATAGGCCACGCAGTCGGCGGTAAGCCCTCGAGACTTATCGAGCATCTTCTGCGATGATCCAGGGACTGAGAAATTGTTGAGCCTCTATATATAGACTTCATTGTGATTACAAGAGCATACCATACAGCAGAGCTCGCCTGACCGCCGTTCTGGCAGCGGACATCGTGCCACCAGTGCTGGTTGACCTTTAAAGAAAGCTCCAAATATTCTAGCCGAGACACACAATTACTTGAAATCTGAACAGCGAACTGCTAGCTCTCATCTATACAATACTTAGTGAGGGGAAAAGAGAACGAATGTCGTTATAATTCAAGCGAGCAGACGCCGGGAATTAGGCGTCTACCTTAGCTATTTGATGCAAGGATTCGTACTCAGAAGTTCGCCTGCCAGGATGCTTTCTAGCCTCCTAGACGAGTCATGATATAACTTCAACATGAGTGATGAAGCCGAACTATCTCATTTGTCCTGCCATTTCTACGGTGAAGAAGTGTTCTTCCACGTTTTTTTAATACATATTCGTTGCGCAGTCCCTCAGCCTACCCTACAATTAGCATGCCTTCCATAATCCAAACAGCCTTCTTCTTCGAAGCCCTCGTGAACGTCCCTGCCATAATCTCCCTCATATTTTACCCCGAGTCTACCCTCCGCCCCGCTCTTACTACAAATGCTTCCTTCTCAGCCGCTGAGCTCAACCGAACTGCGACGTTCATAGCCCGCTGTGCAGGCGTCCTCATCCTGGCGCTTACACCGCAACTACTGCTCGCATTGCCAGACTCGAAAGATTGTGTCGGGAAACGAAAGCAAGTCTACTGGACATTAGGCCTCGGAGAGTTTGGTCTTATCCCGCTCTTCCTATGGGAAGCTTTCAGGGCCAGAGATCAGGATAAGCTTGATTGGCGAGGAGGCTTGACGAAAAGAGCCGCGTTGCTATGTGCGGGCATGTTGATCCCGCCTTTGGCTTGGAGAGTGTTTGTGTTTGGGTGGAGGGAACATTGGTTCGGACCGGAAGGCGGTCGTGGACGGGAAAAGGGAACGTCAATAAACCAAGCCGATGCAGATGATCTGGTCAGGAGCTGGAATTTAGGGCGGAAGGAGCAGTGACGGCCACTTGGATGATTGATGATGCTGAGAGGACTTTGCGAGTCACGAGGATAGGGTCTCTAAAATCCAAAAATAATATCTATCGATTTTCCATTTACTCATATTGACGCTACATTGCTGCCACCACTGCTCCTGCAATCTTGTTTTGATTTAGTAGAGAGTACTCTTCTTGGGGCGCTTTGACGCGGACACTGGCGATGGGACTGGGAAAGACCGCTTCAAGATGAAGATGCGTTTGGAAACTCGCAGAGAACCGACGACCAAGGCGCGCCAGATCCCTAGAAATTGAAATTTTGAGGCTCGCCATACCTCAAGACTTTAGAGACACTGGGGGCTGCATCCACCACATCAAGCACTTTAGTCTCTTATCAAGCTCAGCATAAGCTCCGCAACATTTTCCAAGAACCTCCGAATATCCTCGTCCACATGCTGTGCTCCATTCCATTCGGCCGACAGATTGATGGCTTGTCTGAATGTGCTCATACGTATGACCCTGCCATGGAGCCCGTCAATGATGAAAGAGCTTGAAACTCACGCAAACTTACAATGGTGGCCCATCTGGGCTGGCCGTAAATTGCACGTCATCGACTTCCAAGACCTTATGGGTTCGCGTCTGGTCACAATATGAGTTGGAGATGTGTGTTTCGATGAGTCCATCACTCAAGAAGAACTGTCTCCAAACCCTCAGCTTATGGCCTTACACGCAGTCCCCGTTGACTTACAGCATCAGCCGTCCATTTGCCTTTGAAGGCTTTCATGGTCCTGGGAGCACTGGTCAGTAGGGTATGCTTCGATCAGATGTAATCTGAGCGTACTTCGCCCTCGCCATATGCTCGGCCACGGAAAGTGATTCAGTGAGTACCGACTTCTGGTCCCGGACCGCTTGATACGATCTGAAAGCCTCTGCGCACGCTAATCTCAGCTTCCCCTGGACTTCTTCCCTGCTGGCGTTGTCCGAGAGAATGTAACTCTCAACATCCCGGAACTCAATCGCACTAAAAGCTCTGCACAAGGAGATGTGACTGTGTGATCCTGGAACACCTTGATCAAGATACCTTCGTCCATTGATGAACAGCGGAGATACCAAATGATCACCGTGCGTCGGCCTTTCTGAGACTGGTTTGAACTTGAGCATCGTCATCACCATGGCCGCGTGGCCAAGATGAGTGACAGAGCATGCTTTTCCTAACTTATTTTTTACACCAAGCAATATAGCGTCACTCTCTTCGACCGAGAATCGCTTATGAATAGCTTTCGGCATGTATCCGTCCTTGGAAACAACTTCCATTCCCCATTCACTCTTCTACACCCCATACGTCAGGCTCAAAACTCTCCCATTGATATGGATGATACATACGCTCGCCTCCATCACCAGATTGGTGAGGTTCTTCACACCCTCTTCGAATTCCTTTCCCTCAGTCCTTTGTTCACTGTTCATCATGCCCACCCACGGCATTGGGAGTTTCCCCTTTAATGCTTCCCAATCGAGGGTCGCTTCCCTTCCGCTCACGGCATGTGCTAGAAACTCAAAGTAGCATCCCGCCAAGATATATGCCCCAACACCATCTGCAGTCATATGATCGACTCGAAACGCAAACTCAGCTCCAGCCACCTTGCCCTCCTGATCTACTCTTGCAGTCAAGCGCACACAAACCGGGTGCGTAATCACAGCTTGCCTCATCTCCTCCTCCGCGCTGTTACCCTCTTCACAAGTCCCGAAGAAGAGCGACCTCCTCATCCACTCCCTAGCCTCTCCATCAGACCCTGGAATCTTCAGCTCTAGCAAAATACTCCCATCTTCTCCTTGCTCACTACTAGGTCCCAGCACCACTTCCGGAAACTCGCATCGGACTCTCAACCACGCATGCTCCGCCGCATTGCCAAATGCCTCAAGGGACAAAGTGGAGCAGGGACCAGTAAGGGTAAACCTCCCACTCAAGAACATTTGCCGCGGTCCAGGTGCCTGACGAGCCCATCTTGTTTCGGCGCCGAGTGCACGACGGAGATATAAGTTTGGTGTCTTAGTGGAGGGGCGCCAATTGTAGAGGGAGGGTTCTATGAGGGGTAGTAGGCTCATGCTGGTGGATTCCTTGGCAAAGACAACCCGCTCTTGTGGTAAATAAATGCAGGAAATTATGTATATCTCAAAGATACGAACAGCCACTGAGACGGAGAATCACAGAACAGTGATCGGGAGACTGAATAGAAGAATGAAGGAGCAATGGCAACACCACCACTGTACAGAGGCCACGTAAGTCAGTCACACGCTCGGATCGAGAGGCCACGGTATTCCTTGGAGCAAGTGACCAACCACAAAGTCTTCCCTAAAGTAGGTATACGGTGATTGAGTCTGACGCCTAGGAAGGAGCAGCGACCTACGCCTTAGAAGATAGGTCAGATATCAGGCGGCCATTTGCCGCGCGTTACTAGGACTTTTCTCATTTTATACAGCGTTGAATCGTTCAAGTTCGACTCGGAGGAGCTGGAGCATGACATGGCCGATGAGTAGCTTGTAGGATTACATAGCGTCCGAGAGCATCCGATATCGGATCTGGTTTTTATCGATAAGTAATTAATTTCCCCATAATTTAACCGAAATCCCTCGCTTTTTTGTGCGCGCCCTCGGAGCCTTTGGCGAATTGACTTTTCTACATACTACAGATTTGTGTCACAATGCCCATGTGAGCCTGAACCGTTGATACGGGTTGCTACTTTGCTGACGGTCGTGATTTTCAAGGCTCAAAGATCCCTCGACCAAGTATCGACTTTTCAGGCCCATCGACTTACCAAATCGTCAATGGCCCTCCCAAACCCTCGATAGACCCCCACGCTGGCTCGCTACAGACCTCAGAGATGGCAATCAGTCTTTGGTTGACCCTATGGTACGTGTGCGCAGCAAGGGCACCACACCCGAGTGGACATGGCATATTGGTCTGAGGGGGAAAATGCTGAAATATGATGGTGTAGGGTTCGGATCAGAAATGGCGATACTTCAAGATGCTAGTGGAACTTGGCTAGTACGTGGGAAATACTGGTGGTCTTCTTTCCGCGCTCATGTGACGGGGTTAGCAAGGAAATAGAAGTTTCGTTCCCATCAGCATCAGAAACAGACTATGAGTTCACACGTCGCCTGGTGGATACCCCGGACGTCGTACCGGATGATGTAGCTCTACAAGTTCTCAGTCCTTGTGGGTTGCTCTCATCGTGCGAAGGTTAAAAAAATCGGACATGTTCAACTAATTCGGAGACCAGGCCGGGAAGATCTCATAAAACGGACCGTCGAATCTGTCGAGGGTACAAAAACCGCCATCCTCCATCTTTATCTTGCTACCTCGCCATGTTTTCAGCAGATAGTCCTGAATCATTCCGAGCAGGATGGCATCGCTTTGGCTGTTGCGTGTACCAAATACGCACGTTCGATAACGAAAGACAATCCATCTTCCAAAACTCACTGGCAATATGAATTTTCCCCTGAAACTTTTTCTGATTCGAACCTCGATTTTGTTGTGCAGATTTGCGAAGCTGTTCGAGCCGCGTGGGAACCTTCCGAATCTAATCCCATCATCTTCAATCTTCCAGCGACTGTCGAAATGTCTACTCCAAATGTCTACGCAGACCAGATTGAATATTTTTGCCGACACATAACAGAAAGAAATAAGATTTGCGTATCCCTGCATGCGCATAATGACCGTGGCTGTGCTGTTGCAGCTTCTGAACTTGGACAGATGGCTGGCGCAAATCGAGTAGAAGGAACTCTTTTTGGTAACGGCGAAAGAACTGGAAATGTCGATCTTGTAACTCTGGCTTTGAACCTTTATTCTCAGGGAATCCACCCAAAAGTTGATTTTTCTGACATTGACTCAGTCATTGATGTTGTGGAAGAGAGCAACAACATACCGGTTAACCCACGTGCTCCGTATGGAGGATCGCTCGTCCAGTGCGCTTTTAGTGGCTCACACCAAGACGCGATTAAGAAAGGGTTCCAAGCGCGAGAAGGGCTTAAGGACGGAGATCCATGGCTGATACCGTACCTCCCCCTCGACCCTCAGGACATTGGCCGTACATACGAAGCTGTCATTCGTGTCAATTCGCAAAGTGGGAAAGGCGGTGTTGCATGGATCATCCAGAGACTCATGGAACTCGACCTTCCCCGTGGTCTCCAAATTGCCTTTTCGAAAGTCGTTCAACAAAGAGCCGACGCCGTTGGGCGAGAATTGCTGGCTAAGGAAATTCAAACGCTATTCCAAGATACTTACCATCTCAAGGGCGCCCCTCGCTTCACTCTTGTCGACTACAGCATTGCACCTGAACGCTCCGTACCGTTCGTCCCAGAAGAAGGCCGCAGTCAGAACACGCAAAACTCGATGAGAAGATTCGAAGGTGTGGTGGACTGGGACCGAAAGGAGCACAGGATCACAGGCCTTGGAAACGGGGCGCTTTCTTCTCTAGCGGACGCCATGCACATGCTCGGAATCGATCTGGATGTTGTAAATTATAACGAGCATGCCATCGGTAAAAATAAGAACGTCCAGGCGGCCACATATATTGAGTGCACGGCAGCTGGCAGTAAGGAACGGGTGTGGGGTGTGGGCATCCACGACGATGTGTTTCAGGCTAGTTTGAATGCTTTCCTTTCTGCAGCTTCATCGGTAAGAAATTAGCTCCTTTACCGCTTTATTGGTCTCTACGATAAGCTAATGGACTTCGAATAGTTCATGGACAGTCGACCAAACGGGCCTTTGTCTGTTCCACAATAGGGTCCTCATCATTTCTGGTGCATCCTTTGCGGCTATCTGGGATGCCTTTGATTGTCACGTTTAGCGATTTGGGTATGGAAATGATATCGGCATGATGCTGCGGAATGGAAAAGTTGGGCGCTCGATGAATTGTTCATAAATACCCAAAAGTGCAAATGTAATCCTGCCAAGACCAGTAATTCTTCTCAGCTCACAATGCATTGTAATCTTTCAGCATGAATATGTAAAGATGATGACTCAAAATCAGCTATGTCATGTGTGAGGATATGTCGATGGAAGACGAAATATTTTCGTTGCAGAACGTAGAAAACTGCGCCACAAAGGCGCAATAATGGAAGGCCGCGATTTCTCTTTCTTAAGAACTTTCTGAATAAATACTTTTACTTCAATGAAAATGATATAGACCCTAATTGAGGCTGGCTAAAAGAACAAGGTTTCTTACAATGGCCTACAACAGCGGCTACAATCCAGATGCGCTTCCTGCGTGAGTTGTAGAGTCTCTACCTGGTCATGTCCAGTACTAAAACTTACATCAGACACGCAGAGCCAGAACAGGTATATACCGCTCACCCCAGCTCCTCGTGCCGAGGCTGACCCAAGCCCCATTGACACAGGCAGCCCAAATCCTTTCCTCCCAACAACAACGCAAGCAATCAAACCCTTTGCATCCACCACCACCACGCCCCTACTCAAATTCCAATCCCCAACCCTACAACCTTCCTCAATCGCAACCACAATACCAAAGCAAACCTCCTCCACCACTTCCCAAACCAGCCCAGCAACTGCAAACACAACCTCCGCCCCGCCTCTCCCCGAACAATTCCTACAACAACACCCAATTCAACCAAAACGCCGCATCAACCCCCCCACCCCAAAATTACGGCTTCGGTCCTCCTCCACAATCTCACCATGGACGTCCACCACCTCCGTCTCGACCGCCTGGAACCCCCGCCCCTGGCGGTAGCAGCGCCGACGCGTCGCTTTTTCCGCTTTTCAAGGCAGTCGATACCGCGGGGGTAGGTCAGTTGACGGAGAGGGAGCTGGGGAAGGCTCTGGTCAATGGGGATTTTACGAGTTTTGATCCGCATACGGTTAAGATGATGATACGAATGTTTGATGCGGATAAGGATGGCAGTATAAGTTTTGAGGAGTTCTGGTACATTTGGCCTCTTTATGGTTATCCTATTGGGCAGAGCTGATATGTCGGCAGCGGCCTCTGGGGTTTCCTCGCTGCGTGGCGCGCCCTTTTCGATCGCTTTGATGAGGACGATAGCGGCTACATATCTTTCGATGAGTACTCGAAAGCGCTGGTTGCCTTTGGCTACAGGCTTTCTTCCGCCTTTGTCAATCTACTGTACACAACGTATGCCAGAAGCGGTGAAGATCGCATGAGCTTCGATTTGTTTGTGCAGAGTTGCATAATACTGAAGAGGATGACGGACGTGTTCAAGCGTTACGATGATGATAGAGACGGGTATATCACGTTGAGTTTTGAGGAATTTCTAACCGGTATGTAACTGCGCTTCGCAGAACGTGGGAAAATGTTATGGTCTTTGCGGACTACCCGCTGACACTTGAGGATAGAAATATTGCGTCAACGCTGAGCTAATAGGCCGGCCGGAGGTAATGTTCAGTAAATTAAGCCAGGCGCTGGGACGGTCGTCTTTTCTTTAGACGAATTTTGGTGGCTTGGAAAAGCGGCATAGAGCCCAGCCAGTTAATGATACCCCTTTCTAACTCTCTACTCATCCCCAAACCTCGCACGAAGCAACAGAAAACGGCACCAATTGCTCTATGGGCGGTGTTTCAGAATAACAGTCACCATTAGTCCGTCCCATACATGCCTTACATATATTCTTTTCGCAGAGCATGGTTGAGCATTTAACGCCATCGAAGATACGTGCGAGCCTTATGCCAAAACCAGTCTACCATTACTGCTGCTTTGAATGTGTTAGTAGCGCTTTCTCTCGAGGATCCTACTCTCGATTGAACCTTTTGGTCAATTGAAGCTCTCGGGCACAAAGTGTTTTGAAGACGGTCGATGGATCTCGATGTGAAGCAACTCAATCACAAGCCCGGCAGATCATTAGATTTGAAAGAACATAAGCTGAACCTCCTTGTCGAGATCCTTTGGCACGAATATGGGTCAATCAAAGGAATCAGAATCGTCAGCGCTTACATCTTGTACAGGAAAATTCTGCAAAGGCACCACCAGCATTTCTGGGCTGGCTGGAGCTCTTTACCCATCCGTGATCAATTGCTTTAGGCTGAGATCAGTACTATGCGTTGTAAAAAGATGATGATGCACATGAGTGCTGATAGGAGAGAACGTATCCGCCGGACTTCAAGCAGAGGCCCAGAAATCTCAAACATTCAATTTGCTGTTCGGCCTCGTAGAAATCTTCGAATTGGCCCATTATGGTATATGGAGGATGAGAGCAAGCGCTCGATCTATCTCTCTCTCATATCGTACGAGAACACAAATCGTGTCAAAACTCCAGCTTCAGGAAAGCCAGGCGGGTCAGATATTGCCGACGTGATCAAGGAGATGCATCGTGCGGCGGACAGCTTTTCGGCGGTTTCTGCGAAACAAGGAACCTGAAGCCAAGGCCGTCGATTGGGCGTGGGTACAGAATGAGTTCTCATGGAGAGAGTTGGGACATGCATTGCTGGCGCAAGAATGCTTGCAACCTAATGACACAGAATTTACAGCCTCGGGGGATACAGCATGCGAAACTTTACTTCATCATTGAGCAGGGCGCTGGAAGATGAATATTTTGCATGTATGACACCAGCTTTTGTTTTAGCATGCCATGAAACCAAATGTTCAGCAACTTCCGAAGGCGATTCAGGCTGAACACTAACATTCGATACATTCTAATCCGAGACAAGCATCACTGCGACACCACTTTATCCTGAGTACAGTACTTCACACAAAGAACTTACCGTCTGAATGGAGGATCCCTGCGGCTAGTTGCTCCAGACCTCTACACTCACACTGGAACGAATGCGCAACGTGCGTACCGAGGCGCAAAGTCGGGTAGAAGGAAGTTGAAACCAGCAAGCGCAGCGTTACGACAGCAAAGCCGTACCGACACTGCAGGCGCAAATCTCCACTAACAATGCTCACGCTCCTGCACAGCTCAGCGTCATGCTCCTCGGACTCAGCTTTGATGCCCCACAGACGCCATGACCTTCGCCGCCATCCTCTCCTGCCTGTCCCTCGCCATACTAGCCGCCTCGACTCCGCTCCAGCTCCTCAACCCCCAAATCCTCGCCACCACTTCCCTCGATCCAACCGTCTCATCGCTCAATCTCACCAACACCAGCCTCACGGCAAGCACCAACTGCTTCATCCAACCGCACCACGCCGGCGCCCCCACCCTCCTCGAAACCAACTACCCCGACTGCCTCGTCGCCGTCACATTGCTGCCCGCGGACAAAGCAGCCACGACGCCCTACACCTTCAGCCGCAGGCCGGACGCCGAGGTGCGCCTTCCTTACGCGAAATCGTTCCGGACCTGCAAGATCATCATCGACATCATGGACGAGTTTGAGACGGAGAGATTGAGGTGGCGGGACATCAGTGACACGTTGGAGGCCCCCAGAGGGGTTTTGAGGAAGTGTCTTGGGCAGAGCCCGTTGCCGCCGTTGGGGGGCAGGACGTCGGTGGGGGCTATGGGTGCCATGCAAGCGATTGTTGTTGGGCAGGCGTGGAAGCCTGGTGCTGTGGTTTGAGTTAATTGGCCGGTGAGGAGCGCCCTTGGATGTATGGAACATTTAATCATGGTGACGATTTTCTTTTTACCGCCACTGCTCATGCATCACTGAATGCAGTGCGGTTTTTGCAGAGGTGAGGGGCCAAGAAAGTAGCAGTTCGAGCTGTACGGATCCTTGATATATCGACTACTTAAGGCTTAATGAAGAGGTTCCGTTGCAATTTCATGCTCGATATGAATTGAATTCAATCATAAACGACAGGTGTTCCGGGATGTTACCCAAAATCGGCCTAACAGGGAAATTCAGCAGGCGAGGTGTCAAAGCGGTATATCATAAATCCTTGGGTTTTCGACAAGATGGGCATCAACGAGGAGGTTTCTTCGCAATTCAATGCTTAATGGAGCGAACCCCAATCATTAACGACAGATATTTCCGAGATGCTAACCAAGGAGAAGTGAAAGCTGGGGGCGCTGAAACCCGCCTGCATCGGTCCTTTCCGAGCAGCTCTCTCCATAACCTCCTGAGTGACGTTGATCTCGCCAACTCGACGCTGTAACAGCAGAACCACCCCTAGGCCGAATGTGTCATTTCCTGCAGCTTCTACTAGCAGAGGGTTCACAATGTCAAGAAGGTTCACCCTGTCCAATAGCAGTCCCACTAATTGGTCGCCAAATGAACGGTTGCTAGCCGCTGCCAGCAGAACTTTAGCTTTCCCTGTGATCTCCAAGCCTTCGAGTCGGTCCAGTAGGAGCTGCAACGTTTTCTCCGATGCCAGGTGGCTCATCATTGCCTCCAGCACTTCCTCTGTCATTTCCCAATCTCTTCCCGAGAACAATTCGAACAATTCGTCTCTAGGGCCTATTCTTGCTGCGGTCACGAGAACGTCTTCTGTGATCAGAACATCCTCTGCATGTTCTAGCAACCGCTTCAAGATACCCGGTCCCTCGAATGCGGACTTTGCAGCGATTATCATCATTTCAGTCATTTCTTCCATGGTCATCCAATTTTCGGCCTCGCCTAAGAGCAAGCTCATCATCTTTGCTCCTTCAAGATTGTTCCCTGCAGCGCACCTCACCACTGGGCCGGTAATTACACCACCTCGATCGAATAGCAGCCGCAAAGTTGACGCGGTGCCGTTGGCAGTTGCTTTATTCACAAGAGTCTGCGACATCTGGTACCCGTTATCCAGCAGCAAGCCCAAAATCTTTTCATTGCAGTTCTCTATCGCTCTGTTGATGGCTTCTGTCAATATCCTACCGGAACCACCCCGATCAAGCAACAAACCCAAAATCTTCTCATTCTGGTTCAAAACACCAGCGTTAAAGATGTCACTTGTTATCTCACGAGAATCATCTCGACCAAGCAGCAATTGCATAACCTTTTCGTCGCCCGATATTGCGATTGCTCGCATTATGTTGGGGTAAATTTGGAGATATTTTTTATCTAAAAGCCGTATCATGACCTCCATATTGCCCTCGTGCCCGGCCTGCTCAAGGATCAGGTCCCAAGAGATTCCGGCATCGTCAGTTTGAGGCAGTAATGAATCAAATCTGCTTCCGGAACAGAATTTTGCGGCATACTCGAGAAGGGTCTGTGATACCTCTGAAGCTTTATACCTTGCCATCAATCTTTCCACTATCTCCTTCCCTTCTTCCCAGTAATTGACCAACTCGTCGACCAATGTTGTAACTTTTTAATTTTGCTCTCGCGGAGTACCCAGTCCAGGGTGTCAGGGTCCGTTTCCAGTGCCACTAGAGCCACCAGATATAAAGAAATTTCATCCTCACTACGGTTGCTCAGAAGTAGCTTGAGCGCCTCGCCTTTGTTATGTTCAGCCGCTAGACGGCTTCTCTTTTTGGGGTTAACATCTCGCAAAATCCGTAAGCACATGCAACATAATAAACCCTGTCTTCGGGCTTACAATCGAATCTGGGGTCTAGATAAAACCGAAGATTACCGTCCTGTATCCTGCGCTAATTAGACTGTATCCATATGTCCAACGGCGAGAGATCATCAGATGCATCAGAGAGGAAAAAGCGAAAGGCTCCCTCGAAACGAGAATTGCTTTTCCTCCCTTCCTCTCCGATCAACCGGCAATGTCTGGCCCAGAAAATCGTAGCCTAATTATGGAAACCTCCCAACAATTCCGCGGTAGATGCAACTTTCCCACGAAGATCAAGGGCGTAATGATGTTGCCGGAAAGCCTCTGCAACTGACCAGTTTGATGAACCGATGAATTGTAACAAGCAGGTCTCGGCTGCAAGGAGATGACACGAATTTGCCATATACTCAGCTCGCTTCTCGAGGAACTCTCACACCGAAAGATGAGCAAACCTAAATACATCCGAACCGTTGTCGAACACAACGAAGTTATGACAAAGGTCGAGGACATGTTCCTTTGTAAGCTCTTCAGTGGGAACAGTATACATTGCTACAGCAGTGCAAAATTCCGAGGATTTCATTTGCCTTTGCGCACAGAGCAACCATTTCATTATGTTGCTGATGATAGACTGGCCGACCTCGCCTAGGTACTTCAGCAGATTATTCTCGTAGGCCTCCAGGTAAAGTTGCTCCAGTTTGGGTGGTAGTCGCCCCAATCTTGCTCGGACATCTTGATCTAGCTTCATCGTGCAAAGCATTTCCAATTACAGACTCGCCCATCTGAACATGCCATCAGCGCCTCTACTAACTGCATCAATAATCAAAACTTTCAGTGCCTCCTTGGCATGGTTGTTGCGCAACAAACGTCGCTTTTTGATTAGTTTGTCGGTTTCTTCCCTGACAAAGACCTCGATATCCCCTGATTTTCTGCTGGAAACAAGATCAAGATGTGGATAGTCCCGAAGCGTGCATACGATATCTTGGTCGTCACGACTCGATAGAAACACTTTCACTAGCCCAAACGAATTTTTTTGCAGCAGACTTTCGATCCCGTCTAGGAGCATCTCCCGCTTTTCGGGATCACATTCGTCGAGAGCGTCGATGACAATGGTCGTCATGGAATAATGTTCTACCAACTTGGTAATGAGATCACAGCTCTCTTCTATTTGAAGACCCCGAGAGCTGAATCCTTGACCTTTCCTCTCGTACTTCTCGATGACTGGAGGCAAAAGCGGAAGTCCAGGCTCTGCGCACGAAAGCTGTCTGACGATGCTGGAAATTATGGCAGCTGGATTGTATCCTTCGGGTTCAGCGGCATTTCGGGAGCAATAGAAGTAGACTGGGGGTGGGCTGTTTCCAGCCTCGAACCTTCTCACTGCGTCTTCGATTACAATAGACACGAGTGTGCTTTTTCCGGCGCCGGCTTTCCCGTGAAGCCGAAGGAGAGACGATGTGCTTCCTTGGTGCCATTCTGCGTATATTGGATCCTCGAGTACCCATTTGCCCGTACCAGCAAGAATATTCTTCGAAATCTGCTCATGATGTTCCAGGTAAGGCTGTGGGGAAATCCACCGTAAGATCTCGTAGCGCTTAGAGTTGTCCAAATGGTCTTTCGTTACCATTGAGCTGGCTACTCAATCGAATTATGTGTCCATCTATGGTACGGAGGAGCTCTATAAGCTCTGCATGCCTCTCGGAATGACCGACTGAGAGTGCCTCGAGAGAGTTGCTGAAATTGTTTTGGTTCTCTCCATCCAAGATAGCAGCGCAACGATCCACATTGGACTGCTCAAGGTCTATTTTTCTGGCAATACTTGCAAATTCGTCTTCCGTGACGAAGACACTCCTTGATACGCGTTTCGGCGAGCTCTGATCGAAGAAGCTTTTAGCTTTCGATTGATATACAAGTATCGTCGAGTACAACCGAACGAGCGCATTTTCAAGCTCTATTGAAGCCTTTGATGTACGACGTAAATAGATGTCCTCAAAGATCGCATATCGCTCTATCATTCGTGAGATTGATTCCGCGCCTTCGACGACAAAGTCAAACTTGACAATGTCACCAACAGCAACCTGTAAGATGAAGCGAACTCCCGCCCAAGGAAGCGCAGCATGTCCAGGGCCATATTGCACGACAGTATCTCCAATCTGTTTGAACATGTTGATCCAGATAACCATCTTGTTGAAAATATCCCGCAAAAAAATGTTCTCACCGTTACGACCACGCCTACTGAACTGCCATCTTTTTTTGATGCATTGCTCTTTGGCGCTCTCTCTGTGAGCACCTGGAGGTCTGAAAGGATGTCCAGTCTATATTGGCCATCATAGAAAGCGAGCTGTTGGCGATCGCTTTTGGTCAACTTCTCTAGGGCGGCTGCCCAAAGATCTTTGCTCGATGTAGGCATGCCAATCTCGAGAGCTTTCTTTTACCAGTTCTTGACTCTCAGGCGGCTGGTCAGCCTTGGGCCAAAAGTAAAAGCCGAAAATGTCTTAGACAGGATGGTAGGGTTCGTGAATGGCCAGCCTTACGCACGTACCAATTACTTCACCTTGAAGCGCGAGTCGCAAATCCATATTTGTGACAGTGGAGAAGGACCACGAACCAGGTCGATGAAGAGGGAAAAATGCATTTTCTAAACAAGGAGCACATGTCATATAATTTCTAGCATCTCTCTCCTTGGGGCACTGGTGCATCCACCCCGTTCAGTAGAATGCAAGTGTAAGCGTACACACCAACATATTGTATCAGCGCTGCCGTACCTTCCTTCCCAAAAGCGTGCTCTGCCCGCTTCCAATTAGCTTCGGTCATCGGACCCTGCTTATGTGAAAGCTCTATAGCCACGTCAAAGGCAACGTTTCCTTGCTCATCAAGAGCATTGTCTCCAAAAGGCTTCTTCCCACTCTTCACACTTCCGATCTGAGCCGCCGTGAGGCTTGTAAAGGCGGCAACCCGTTCATGTGCATACAGTTCGTACTTGGATTGGAATCTGCTTCCCGTCGCTAAAATGGCGACTTCTCGTGCTGAACCCGGCAGACCTGGGAGCTTCCCTAGCTCAACGACGAGCTTGAAGAATGGATCGACGAGGGTGGGTGTGAAGAGCAGAGGAGCAAATGGACCTATAAAGGCACCATCTTCATTTTTGTAGAGGAATTTGTCGCCGAATACGCTCGAACAGATCTCCGACGCTTCGTCGTAAGCTTTATGCTGGTCGGCAGTGAGGGAGGATGGCGCAATTGGAGAGTATCGAGACATTCTGGAGATGGATTCGAGTGTTCGTCTGGAGATTTGCGAAAAGCGGAAGTGGAGGATAGCGACGTCTATGAGTAGTCAAGCCGGAAAGATCCCGTCGTTGCGTCATGGCTACCATCATGAAAGCAAGATTTGCACTCCTAACAGTGTCAGCAGTGCCCAATGGGTAGGGTTCAAAGGTTTATCGCGTAATACCATTACAGGCTAATGCTATAGGCAAAGACAGCAGGCAGAGTCATATCGCGGTGTAAGAGAATGAAGCAAAAGTCATGCATAGAGGGTGAAAGCTCTTAATGGAATTGTAGAGATCCTACAGTTGCCAGGAAATAGTGGCGATTTTCTCGAACTTTTTTCAGAACCCGTCATTTTGTTTGCAAGGGAGAAATGGTAGTATTTGTACAAGTCAGGCGCAGTGCCAGCAGAAAGTGACATTTTTCGTAAACATTCCCCAAAAATCTATTCCTGTTGAAGATCCTTGATAGGAAGAGTCGATTTGTTTTGATCGATATCCACAAAAAGATGCGCAAAAGACATTCTCTCTGTGCATGACTTTTGCTGCTCTTATAATCCTTAGGCGCGCGATAGAAGGCTGCTACGAGTAGTCCCGATCGGGACGGGTCTCTATAAAAACCGCATTCTCAACCCTACCACACAAAAAATTGTGGAAGATACTGCCACAAGAGGCATGAGTGATACAGTAGCATTCTCTAGGTATATATGTTGTTGTCTCCCTTTGTAAGAACTACCGCGAGCCTTCGTCTACGCGCACAGTGCTCCTGAGTCCGCACCAAGCCTTGCTCGTCAGGCAACCAGGTGTCTGCTGCCCACAAAACCTAACGACTACACAGGAGTACTCTTCCAGCAAATTGTAAGATGTGTAAATGCTGCATTGTACTGGTTTAGCTGTGGTTCTGTGGAGGGGCGAAGAGCCCTTCCCAATGATCTCACACCTCACCTCGATCTTGCTGATGTGTTGTGCAATACTGCATCGCAAACCCAATATTGTCTCAACCTTCGGAGCTAAAGTACTTGTCCTAAAAATATATATAATCGTGAGGACTGTTTCTCAGGGATGTTTCTACCCAACTCTTAGGGTCTAAGGATCTTCTCCTTGTCCTCAATAGTGAATGCTTTGCTTACAATTAGCCGCTAGCCGCCCGAGACGCTACGCCCTACGAAGCTCCAAGGGTTTTGGAAGTGATGGCTGTCTTCAAGATCAACACCTCTGTGTTCCGGTAAAGCCGTTGTCGTGTAAAGCAGGAAAAGGCACATTTGCATCAGAGAAGTCTCTTCACCTAAGACAGACTGCTTGACAACCTGGTAAGCAGTATCGATTTGGTCTCTAGAGGTAGAGTTTGCTGAGGTGATCGGACAGCTCTCGACATCATCATCAAGTCCCAAATGAGAACCTCTCTTTAGGGAGACAGACCATTCGAGAGGCTGGTAAGCAGGTCAAAAACTCTTGCATGAGAGGACGTATTAACAAGCCTTCACAGCTTCGGACAAAAATGGCGCCTGTGGTCCTGAACGATGTTGCTATGTTTGATTTTGACCCAACGGCGGTCCCTCACCTCCCTGCTGAAGTATTGAACATTGTTGTCGCTTTCATGGACATTGCCACCATTAAAGCAACACGCTTGACAAGCAGATTCATGGCAGATGCCTTAGCTCCGTTTGTCCTTGACAAAGTCTGGATCTCACCAGCTAAGGAGGATCAGACTAAGCTGAGAGAGATTTCGCAACACCCTACTGCACGCTTGATCGTTCGGGAGATAGCGTATGACAGCACTGTCTATTGTGGAAGCCTTTTCAAGCTATCCGACTATATGAAGGTATGTCATTTATGTGACTTCTTCCTGTTCGGGACTTCAGTCCGTCTCGCGAGACTTGTTTTGCAGGCTGGAAAAGGGCATCTTCCCTGACCTTCTCGCTAGACTTGTCTGACAACTTGAGGCTGTGCTATGGAATCGCGAACTTTGTCTCTTGTTGTGCACCCCAGACTAGTCTTAGCCGTCGACTTGATTTTTTGCAAAATTCATGCTAACTGGAAATCAACATCAGGCCTTAGGTACGAGCAACACTCTCGCCAATTCAACCTATCATCATGGTCGGTTCGGAAATACCTCACCGGTGACATACATCGCAGCGGCAGTGAAACGTGGTCACAATGTTTTCCAACAGTATTACAGCGAACAACGGGAACTCAGCCTGAGCTATCAATGCCAGCATTTCACCAGAACGGGCATGGAAAGGATAGACCTACCAGGGATTAGAGGCCGTGGCAACCTACCAGAGCGGCTTGCCAGCATTGATCGGACCGGTCTGTCTGAAGTCATACAAGACATGAGCGTAATCCCTTCCCTTCTCGAATATTTCGCTACAGATCTCCGATGCCTCCTAGAAACCCTTCCGCTTCTGCCAAACGTTCGACGCTTCACGATCTCCGATCAACGATGGGTAAAAGATCAGCGCAGAAGGTGGACGTGTCTTCCTGACGAAGCTGGTGCTTTTCCAAGGGACAAGTCTTTCATGATTCAGAGAAGACGTGATACCGGTAACCGTCTCGGTTATGATGCTGTGATCCTCGATCCCAGACCATGGCCCAGCAGCCAGGACAAATTACCCAGAGGCAGTCATCTTCCAACATGGTACCGTGGCTTCTGGATCCTGACGCAAGTGGCATCAATGCTCAAATACGAGCAACTCAAGTCTTTCACGATCGATGCCGACGGCTACAGAAACAGCAGCGGCATCTCCCACACCGTGCTCCGCGCCATTGACCCCATAAAGCTACAGCACACAGTCAACGCCTTCAAATACCTCACTACTCTCAAGATGGAGATCAACACGCACGAGAAAGATCCTTGGACAGACTTCCCTGCCACTCTTGCCGGCGGGAACATAGCGAAGATGCTGTGCGCGGCCGAGCGCCTTCGAAGCTTGGACCTGGCATTCGATTCCGCCGAAACCCAGATCACAGATCTGGACACTCTGGTTGGAAAGGACCACATCTGGCCACAGCTGAAAGCTTTGACCCTCACCAATATGTGCTTAAATGGGGATCAGTGGGCGGAATTCCTAACTCGGCAGGGCGGAGTGCTGCAAGAATTGTCCATGATCGAGATATCCTTTTGGGATCCCGACAACTCACGGCGCATGATGTTTACCACGATTGAAGCCATGGCACTCGAGTATTTCTTCATCGTTTTTTCCAGTGAAGGAAATGCAACAGAGGCTCCCTGCCTGAAAACCGGAGGCGTTTCTGGCCGTGCAGAAATCAAGCGTATCGCGCGGGCCATTGCGGCTGGTGAGATGTCGCTGTGAGGGGGTTTTCCGCAGACTTTTCCATTGTCGTTATCAAGAAGGAGCACTAATTTGGATCGTTAAATGAGCTGGAGCCTCACAGAGCCGACGTTCCTTAGGCTATTGAAAGGTCGTTGTACGTATCAAGCAATCGACTTCAAGAAAACTTTCTCCAAAATGGCTTTCACGTACATTAGGATTTTTTTTTTATTGCAAATGCCTTCATCAAAGAACTCGTCACAACCTTCCAAACCCTCCATCCGTCCAATCAACCCAAACCCACTCCGCTCACAAAGAAACCCCACCCCCCATATTAAGCACCTGCCCATTCATCCACTCGCCATCCTGACTGCACACGAAAGTTACCATCTACGGCCCCCTTACTGCCCAAATAATCACTATGGTTCGGCCACCCCTTCGCCAACGCACTGCTACTAGTCAGCACCTCCTGTGTAGATCTTGGAGTCATCAGTATTTATTCATGCCGGTGATGAGGGCCGTTTCGCCGTTGAGACGGGAGGTGGAGGGGGACGAGAACCTTGGGAGTTGAGGGTGATTGGTGGAAGAGACGTGCTTGGGTAAGAAGATTGAGGAGGTAGTCGTAGCATGTGGAAAGAGTGCTCCATGTTTGGTTCGAGGATTGAGATGTTGATACCTCTCCGCAGGCACAGGCTAAGAGAGATTCTGTATCCATCCTCAACGCCCAAACCCTCCTCACAGCATACCCCGCTATGCAAGTCAATCTCGTGAGAAGCCGGTACTAGACCGGAAAAACTAACAGTCGATAGATACGAAACACGAGATTCAGGCTGAACTATGTCTGTTCAAGCCCATGACCATGAGTCTCATACCGTCGGCCCTTGCTGCCTCTCTCAGTACGAGCGCATGTATCTCGCAGCGTGATGCTGCCGTCCCGGCTAAACATTGTGTATAAGCATCCTTTTTGCAAAGAAGATCCAAGCCTCATACACCACGCTGAGAATTTGTGAACCTTGAGAATACGAAACGAGAAGCAAGCTTCAGACGGACGGTGCAGAAGGAAAGAGGCGCAGAGAGGAGTGCGGGAGTGGGAAACGCGAGCTCATATACTTGGCGTTGACCTTTTCCGGCATGCAAAATGCTATACATCTTCGATATACCGCTGAGCCTCTTGTCTCGCTGCAGACGAGGACTGATGTCTAGAAACGTTGTCAACGTACCCACGCGGGTGACAGAGATACCTACGCACCTTGAAATTAGAAATTTGATAATGATTCCACAACGAAGCAGCCTAGCAGAAAGGTTCTGCGTTGTAATTCAAAGATCTCGATAACACTAATATACGTTCCGCAGAATCTAACTCATAATGAGGGTATTCGTTGAGTTATTCCAGCTGACAAGGTGAAGGGATTTCTTGCTGTGTGCAGGTATATCTGTCACCCGCGTGGTACCTTTGGGTCCTCACAAATTTGAGGCTAAAGCCCGTAGGGCTGAGCCAATTCCTTGACCACGAGAGCTGCCCTGATGGAAGGAAACAGAGCAAACTTTCAAAGCTACCCGATTATCGTCCAGAGGCCACTCCATCCGCAAGACTCTACGCAAGGACAGTCCGCCTAAAGATGTCCGAAACAGCAACATCGAACTCCAACGGAGACCTCTGGCTCTTCGGATACGGGTAAGTCTCCTACTGCTACAGAGGCCGAAAGCTCCAACCCCGGACGGAACTCCAACCTTCGTCAAGAACAGCGTGAGTTGACCTCTGATCCCCTGTACCGTAGAAGTCTCATCTGGAAACCGCCTCCGCATTACGGTAAGCCGGAGTGTGTTCGCCCGCTTCCTGTTAGTTAGTAGCGTGGGACCGCATCTCCAGCACCCAACATACATATCCCCCTGACGAAGGGTTCTCCCTTCCACCCTTTTAAACTCCCGCCCGCCCGCTCGAAGAAAGAAGAAACAAACCCCCCCATCCACCACCGCACCCAACGCGAATGACAAGACCGCCCCACTAACCCGGCCCCCCAAACCCCAGACCTCCGCATCCCCGGCTCCATCACCGGCTACGTCCGTCGATTCTGGCAAGCCAGGTACCCATCCCTTTCCCCCCCCTTCTCCAAAAACCCCCCCCACCCCCCCTCCGCCAACCGCCCCTACAGTAGCACACCACCACCCGCTGACCAAAACCCCCCCCCTTGAAGCGAAGACCACCGCGGCACGCCCTCGTCCCCCGGCCGCGTCGTCACGCTGATCGAGCGCGCCGTCTTCGACGCCCTGGCCGCCGAACCGGCGCCCGACCGGGTCCACGGCGCCGGCTACCGCATCCCGGCCCCCCACGTCGACGCCGTGCGGGCGTACCTCGACCTGCGGGAGATCAACGGGTACTCCATGCGGCACACGACCTTTTGGCCGTCGCCGTCGCCGTCGCCGTCGCCGTCGCCGTCGTCCGGACCGCCGCCGCCGCCGCCGGTCGAGGGGTGCCTCGTGTACATCGGACTGCCGTCGAACCCGCAGTTCCTCGGCCGGCAGTCCCCGCAGGCGGTGGCGGAGGTGATAGCGGGGAGTGCGGGGCCGAGCGGCGCCAACGCGGAGTATCTCTTCATGCTGGAGGCTGCGTTGATGGGGTTGGGGGAGGGGAGCGTGGATGAGCATGTTAGGGATTTGGCGGAGAGGGTGAGGTCGTTGATGAAGGGTGGGAACGGAAAGGGTGGTCGTGGCGGGGATGGGAAGGACGAAGACAGCGAGCTGACAACGCAGGCGGTGGAAAATGAGGTCGAGAGGATCAGGAGTGGGGAGAGTGGGCGGGCGGGTGAGGAGACTGAGAAAGTATCACAGCGGGAGAGATAGATTGAACGCCATCAACACTAGCTACGAGGTCATGATTTGGGAGAAGCCTTTGTAGGGAGCACTATCTTTGATTGCTAATTTTTGGACGTGGCAGTTGAACCGCTTGTCCCCGAGTGTCGTAACTAGCTTCCAGCTTCGAGCCAAGGTGAAGAATCAAAGTAGAAAACCGTGCCATGTTCGCTCTATGGGGAGAATATGAAGGTGTGCTGATGAAGTGTGGCAAGCAAGGTTGGTTGTGCTAGTGAAGTGTGGTGAAGTAAGAAATCGAATGCAAAGAAACCTTTTTGTTCCTCCACGCCTGCTTGCGCCTCTGCGATAGATTGCTGCGATTAACAGGCAACCTCCAGGTCTGAAAAGAGAAAATATCCAGGATCGCTCCGATGGTCTAAGATAGCAGCCCATTTCACTTGCTGAGGTTGGTCTGATCCCGTGACACCGAAGTGGCCAAAGCATTTCACACATCGTATCCTTTCTGCTGCTTGTTGGTCGTTCCGTCTGCTTGATCATTCTGTCGTTTCGTTCATTGACATGTCGTGCGCAAATTCAGGCCGTGAGGGGATCAGTGGTAGGTCTACCAGCCGCCCTGGGCGCTGCCACCACCACCTTGCTGCTGGTCGTAGCCTCCAGAGCGACCTCCGCCACCGTAAGACTGACCACCACCTGAGTAGTGCTGGCCACCACCGTAGCCTACAGGCACCGTCAATACAGAGAACCCAAAGGACAAAGGTAAATGTATAAACTCACTACCGCGACCTCCACCTCCAGAGTAGCCACTTCCACCTCCACCTTCACGTCCACCCCACCACCATAGCTTCCTCCACCTCCGCCTAGACAAGTTAGCAGAAATCCATGGGTAAGCAGGGCCGACACATACTATATCCACCTCCTCCTCCACCGTAACCTCCTCCGCCTCCAGAATTGTAGCCTCCACGACCACCAAAGCCGCCGCCGCCACCTCCTCCTCCTCCACCGGAGCCACGCTCGGAAGCTTTGTCAACGCGGATGGTACGACCATCGAATCTGAATTACATTAGCCTGAAGGACGTCATCGAGGCACGAGATGGGGAAGCCTTACTCGACGTTGTTCATCGCCTGGATTGCAGTGTCGGCTTCCTCATCTTGGCTGAAGCGCACAAAGCCAAAGCCACGGCTACGACCGGTTTCACGGTCCTTGACAACAATCTGTGGTATCACTATCAGACTGAGGTTTGGAATGGTCACGTGGAGTAGATCCTACCGCTTCATCGACCTTACCGTACTCTTCGAACTTGGCGCGAAGAGAGGTGTCGTCGGTGTGCCATGCAAGGCCACTGCAGTTGCGTCAGATTTGATAGCCGTACAAAAGGATATGAGTGATGGACTGACCCAATGAACAGCTTCGACATGATTGAGTGAGGGTTCGTTCAATTTTTTTTTGTTGGGCTAACACATTCTCAATCTCAAGACTCTCACACAAGACACGCCTCCGCTGATGGAACGCAGGCAAGCACAAGTCTATTGAACACGGAAACATTGATGTAGTACATGACCGACGCGCAAGAGCAAGGAATTTTGTGCATTTCGGAATCAGTGTAGGAGCAGCAGACGAACATGGCAGGGTCCTTTGAAGGGTGTCGTTGCTAATTTGAGGATTGGGAGTCGCACGAGATGGAGCAAGAAGGTCGAAAGAGTAAATACTGATCCACGAGGAATCAGTTGGATTGAAAAGATTGAGGTTGGAGGACTGGTTTGTGAAAGAAAAATTTTTAAAAAAAGAGGGAAGGTGGGATGTTTGTTGAAGTAATGTAGGTTGGGTCTGAGTGCCCCACTAAGATACACGCTAAGCCCTAGGCTACCTTAGTCACTCTTGGGAATTCTGGACCCTTGGCCGCTTTTTGGACCGTGGCACGTTTTTTTTCTTTTCACTTTTTTCACACTGTGCGCTCAGGTAATGTCAGCGAGATGAGAAGATCCAATGGGACAAGCAGCAGCGGCTATCAAAGGTAATTGGTTGGATGGAAGGCAGTGGTGTGACTATTCTACGTACATGTGCATATAGAGAACTGCAGGCAAGTGATCATCGGCCCAGATGACCTTGAATCGACGATGCAGCTTTTTATTTTCCCTTACCGCCTGCCTCATTATTGGCCAGCTTTATTAAAGGAAGGCAGCTTTGTGTCTGCCAGTCATACCTACTCTATTTTACCGTACTTTACCGTATTGCCTTCCAATCGTCAGCCTAGCCTCCGATCTCCGATGCCAAGCACGGCCCCGTCGATGAAAGGCAATCAAGGAAAGAAGATGTGGATGAAGCAGCAAAAAGGCAAAGAAGGCAAAGAAGGCAAAGAAGGCAAAGAAAGACTTTCGGCTGTCCCCTCTGATCATCCGCAGGTCTACTGCAGTCTGCAGCCTCTAACATTAATTAAATATGTTTTGTAATAGTACCTGAGTACCTGAGTACGGAAAGTAAGTAATGTAATGTACTTGACAACTCATGTATATCAAAGGACGGAAGGTGCTTATGCGCAATCCTCCTTCCCACACAGCTTTACCTTACTTTATTCTTGCAATGGCAATTTACTAAAACTAGATCGTAAAAGCAACGCGCTGACCTTCATCTTCAGATTTACTTGTAGTGCTGTGGGTTTATGTTGAATTCAGAATCGAAGTGGCCAGGTCAGACTGTGATAAAAACGCTCAACTTTCCATCTGGTGCATCTATGATCACGCTCTGTAAAAGGACTTCGGTCTGCTCTCTATATGCCAACTCAGTCCAGCTTGCACCTGCCAGTCAAGGTGAAATTTGCCCTTGGTCTGCTGCTGCAATACCACCTCTTTTACACACTGCATGATCATCATGAACACATGATGGCAAGCTCAAATTGACCCCCCAACTCCTCTAGACTTCAACCGGCTACCCCAGCAGCTTCTTCGCTCTCTTTCATTTCCGGGCTTTCTTCAAACGCTACCTAGGTGAGGGTATAATATGTCCGACGCCGAACGACAATCACCAAGGGCAGCAATTCGCAATTGGCTCCAAACTACTGGTAGCAAGTCGACTGCAAAGCCCGCCGATGCATCTCGAGAGCAACAAAACATTGAGCGGGGATCGAGGCATCGTTCGAGGCAACACCACACGAGGAGGTATCCATCAGAAACCAAGGATCGGCATGATGATAAAGCTGGCCAAAAGCACCAAAAAGACAATAAGTGTGGGACCCGGCAGACACGTGTCGCAGATAAAGTCCTTTCTCGTCAACTCGCACCAAGCACAACCCCAATTACACTTAAAAGAGAATACTGCCGTCATTTCGAACGGCCTCGGTCTCGCGGAGCGATTGGGACTCCATGCACCTTTTCGTACCTTCAAAGATCACAGCGATGACGATATCCCGGACCTCCGAAGTCACCCACGGAAGCGCAAGCGCAGCAGGTCTTCCACGAGCTCTTACCTCGAACCTGCAGCAGCCAATGACCTCTCAGAACATGACCATGACCATTTTCGTCATGCCACGATACTACGTACGCGGAGTACAGGGTCAGTGCTTGACGATAGAGGCCAGCACGTTTCACCTACGGCGTCCCAGGGTTCGGAGATAGCGTTACTGTCTCCAAAAAAGCTCCCGAAATCCTACGAAAGGAGACCAAGACACAAAACCCGCCAAGATCGCTATGAGCTCAAAGACAATAACAGAGCTAGCGAGAAGACGAAGCAGGCTGCGAAGAAAGACCGCGGGGAGAAGAAGCAGAAGAAGCACAAGCGTAAAGAAAAGTCCGGTGCAGCTTTGATGCATGACTTTACCGCGCAGAACGTGGCCCACGACCGTCTCACTGTGAGCTGCATTCAATGGTCGTATGTTTTATGAATGTTTGTTGCTAATACTGAACCAAAGCTGAAGCCCACAAAGACCCTCGGCTTGTTCGGGAAAGGCAGAGCGTCTTCACCAGTAAGAAGAAGGGGCTGTAGGTTCACCTATCTCTATCGGCGGTTGATTAGCACTGACAAAGGCTCTTCAAGTACCTGATCTTGCCTTCTCCGAAATGATCTTCCTCAAATCTTGTCGAGAGAAGCCCAAGGACTCGTTCGAAGACTCGTCTAATAGGCCCTCGGAGAAGAAGACGCGGCGGAAGTCGACTAAAGCAGCAGACACAGAAGCAGAAATTTCAAGATACTTCATGTCAGCAAAACCTACAAGCCTCGATGTGATGAAACCTCACGGTCAACGACATCAACAAGACAGGGGACGATCCCGAGACCACGAGTCACCGCAAGCCTTTGTCGATCTTCCAGATAGGCCTTTCCTAGGATTTGGAAGCTGTGGCCCTAATACCTCTATATCTCCAGCGAAAATACCTGTCAACACAGATTCGAGAAGCCTCCATCGTGAAGACTCGTGGTCTCCTACTCGTTCCACAAGCTATCTTACCTGGTCCCAAAGTGTGAGGCCGTCCTTCGGCTCTCCTCTGCTCAATAGGCCGTATCATGTTGAACCATTAACATCATCAAAACTATCTAATCGTAAACGTAAATCCCCAGCTCCTCATAAAGGCCAGTACTCGTTACCATCTCTATCTCCACCTTGTGTACCGACAACTTCTTCGAAAACCCAAGATGCTGCCTCCATACCTTTCTCGGCGCACGAAAATGCAAATGAGGGTCCAAGCCGGAATAGCGAATCACGGTCGGCAACGGGTGAACGGCTTAGGTTGAGGGAGAAGAGTCAAAACCACGGCGATACTGGAATCATCAAGCTTGATGCTGCAAAGATTCCACACGAAATTGAAGACTCGATCGCAGACAGTACTCACCCAGCCGAAACCGCCACGCATGACGGCCCTGAATCGGCATTACTCTCTCGAAATGAAGCTACTTGCCAGTCTTCAGGACATGAGCCTCAACGCGAGCCTCAACGCGAGCCACAAGCTTATGGCGTGCGCCCTTTCTCGGCCCAGATGCCAATCATCTCACCACATAAAGACCCGCTCGACGATGTGCTCGAGGCACTTCTCACAGATTGCAATACTAACGTTGCTGGTAGCGATCTAGCCTCTCGTGCCACATCGGGTCACCGCAATCTTTATGTTAGGGAGGAAGAGGGGATACCAGATAGAATTCAGGAATATTCACGCATGCCTGCTCGCGCCTTCGTTAATAGTGTCTACGCTCCCGAGGCTTCGGCGTCCGCCCCAAAATTTTCTGGGAAGCCTCGCAGCGCAAGCCTTCAACAGGACTTCCCGCATGACAGTTCCATTTCTACGCATACACTATCTAAGGGGGACCTAAGTTTTTCGAACAGACCAAGCTTAGGGTACGCTCCAGGCTACCGACCCATTGAAAGTGAAGTGGACTCAAGGAGTGCATGGAATGGTTACGGCAACCTTTACGAAAGGCAACAGGAGCAAGCAGATCCTAGGCCAGAAACTTCGAGAGAAAATAGACCACCTTACATAGCTCTGCGAGAGAACCTTTCAGGCTCGTCGCGAGAGACGGACCACACCGCTGCACGCGACGAATACGCACAAAAGCTTCATTTTGTGGAGCTAGGAGACGGATTTGATGATCACAGGCCTTATTTGTATAAGACGGTACAAGAGGGAAATGATAATGAAGATTACGAAGAAATCAGGCATGGTGAATGGGATATTGATCATGGGACATCGTACGATTCTGGACCATCAATCTTCCATGAGTCTCACGAAGATTCCAATCATGGAATTATGGCCGAAAATAATGTCAGTGACTACCAGCGAAGAGAGATAAATGCAGATCATGAGCAGTCAGTCGCACAAGAGGCCGATCAGGATGAAGTTGAGCCCCACCAGCTCTTCACAACAAGCATACCAGACACGTACCCTTCATGGCGGAGTCATCACATCTTCAGTAGAGATCCCGGTCTCGAAAGGTGTGCTGCCGTTTCTCAGGTTCATGATGTTGATGTAGCTTTATCTGGATTTTGGACACCCCACAAGCTGTACTGAGAACCTCTGGTTTTTTTGATGATGGGAACTTTGAGCGTTAGTTTGGTGTCGGTAGCAGTTTTTCATAGGCTTGGAATGCATGACTGTCCCTCGATATGAGTTCTTACTGCCCATGGTGCCCATCACCAGGCTTCCGCTTCGGTTAAGATGTGTCTAGTATGCCAAGCCTGCTAGCCTATCGATAAGATAGAGCTAAGGTACCTTAGGCCGTAATCAGTGATTTGCGCTAATCCTTGCATTCCTTACTTTAAGTACTTACCTGAAGCTACTCCACCAAACGTCCAGGGCGCCTATTTGATAATTCACTCAGCTACGTTTCTTGTTCGATTTCTTAGGAAGCCTCCGACAACGGTTGTACTTCTTCGACTCACAGCATAATTTGAATGTCACGATATGGGGTTTCCAATCTGATATGAAACAGAAAGAAGAGATCATGCTAAGCACCTGATCACGAACCTGTGGTCTATGCATTAGAACATGGCTCTCCATCAAATACCAACACGATCCAGCTATCATAGTCCGAGTCTATCTCGAACATGCAGTGTGAGATTTGTCATCGCTCCGCCAGCAGCCGACTGCCCTTCAACTGCACGCTTTGCGCTCGAGATGCCCTCCATCAACCCAGGATACAGCTGGCCCAGACACTGTTGCATACGGAATCCCTAGGGAAAGAGGTGGAACAAAATGTCGTGGGGACCTCAAAGAAGGAGAAGGCCAGGTCTTCGGCAGGCGCCAAACCCTCAGATGTGAACCACACCTGGACCGTCCACCGTGCAGCTTCCAACCAGTTCATATCGGAGGAAAAGACCCAGACTGTTCTCAGTCATGTCGAAACCCTGCGTGAAGAGACCCAGAAAGTCAAAGCTGAGATTGCGGCAAGAAAAGCAAAGCTCCTGAGGCGACGTTCAGAATTCGCTTCAGCGAAGCACGAGCTGTCTCAAAGCCAAGCTAGCGCCGTCGAACCAGTGGATAAGAGCATCAAGCGCACCGAACACAGATGGGATGTCATGCACAACAAGACGGCAGAGTCTCGACTGTTCCTCTGCAGGGAAGTAGCGCTGCTCTACGGCTTGCATCAACGGAAGCGGAAGAAGGGTGGATTGGGCAGAGATGTCTACTTCATCGGAGGAGTTCCCATTGCTGATTTAAGGGATTTAAACAGTACGCACATCCTTCATAGCTCTAGCCAATATACTAAACCGTTTTAGATGCAGCACCAGCCCATGTTACAACCTCTACCACTAACCTCGCCCACCTCACTCACCTGGTCTCACATTACCTCTCTCTCCGCCTCCCTGCCGAAATCACCCTCCCTCATAGCGACTATCCTCTCCCAACAATCTTCTCACCTAGCTCGTCCTACACATCTCGCGAAGTACCGTTCCCGGGCTCTACACCACATCACTCCTCACACAACAGTCCCTCAGCCTCTCGCCATTCAGATAACCGCCCACCACCAAGGCCTAGGCCGTTGCACCTCGACAAAAAGTTGTCTGCGCTCGCTAAAGATGATCAAGTAGCCTACGCATCTTTCGTAGAAGGTATCACCTTCCTGGCTTGGGACATAGCCTGGCTTTGCAAAACGCAAGGTATGAACGTTGGTGGTAGCTCTTGGGAAGAAGTCTGTGCTATGGGGAAGAATCTGTGGCACTTAATACTCGGCCCTCCACCGCGCCCTCCAGTACCAAGAGAAGTCTCAAGCAGAAGCTTTCCGAAAATGCCCACTAGTTCCCGCATTCCCAATACCTCAAATGGCCCACCTGCAGCGGATAAAACCAAAGAAGCGCCAACTCTAGGCCACTTCTCACATGGCACCGCATATGGCTTTCTCGCATCGGCCTCTGGGGCAGAGTACATGCGTGACTGGCGATTGCAATCCCCCGTCAAAGTAATTGAGAAGGTCAAGGCTATGCTATCAGCCGAGAGAACAGGGGCAGAGTGGGAGATTCTAGAGGGCAATGAATGGGAGGAGGAGGAAGGGCAAGCTGAAGCACCAGTGCATAATTTAGGCAGTGTGGGCAGAATGCCCAGGATAGAGGAGACCGGCGTCTTGGTGCCAGCACAGGCGGAAATTGGGGTACAATACGCAGGCAATGGAAGTCGACTGCCTAGGATTGAGGAGACCGGAGTACTTGTGCCAGGCCAGGGGGTAACGATAGGAATCGGTGGCGCAGGGCAAGGTGGCGGCGTAGAGGGAGAGGAAAGCGAGGAGAAAGGGAAGGGCAAGAGTGGGTGGATGAAGCTCAAAAGTAGGTGACCGATTCAATTGCTGGCATAGCCGGCCGGCTAGGAATCTCGGATGATGTGTAGAATTCCACTTTTGTTTGCACTCGAAAGAAAGAAAGAAAGAAAGAAAGAAGAAAAACTCTCGAGCGAGCAGAACCCACCGTGTGATTGGCCCAAGCAAGCTGCCGAAAAAAAGTCGCAGTCTGGGGCGCCAACCCCCTCATCCTCACACTGGATCCCTGTCCGGATCGAAATCCCACGAATCCGCACCCGTTTCCAGCAGAGGTTGTGCTTGCTTCCTCGAAAGAGCACGACTAATTCCCACAGACTTCCGCAAAGGGGGGAAAAGGATCACAAAACCCCCCCCCCAGCCCAGCAAGCTCAGTGGGCCTCGTACTAGTACAAAAAAAAACAATGTTCAGATCCACGGGGGGGGGGGATTTCCTGCGGAAAAAGGATGACGGGGGTGCTGGTTCGCTGTTTTCATTTCAGGATCCGGAAATGAGGGTCCAGTGTTCAGGGTTTGTGAGCCCGATTGTCTCCTCGTCGGATTCGAAGGATGGCGATTGGGATCAGATCATCAGGGTCAAGGGTCAGATATTGCATCTTTTCGAATCGGGAGATCTACGTATGTAGTTTCCCGGGGGGGAGGGGGTATGCCGCGTGCAAATGGCAGGAACGGAGCCATGAACGATTCCCTCTCACACGACATCGCCATCACAGATGGAACTGCTCCAGATACTTCGTCGCCGCCTGCACGGCGTCGTCCACCTTGTCCGGATGCGGCCCGTTGCTTATACATGTGGAGCCCTTCCCTACCGCCTTTCCACCGACAACGTTGGAGATCTGAACGGCCCATGCGCTGGCGGAGAGGCCGGCTTTGCTCGCTTCCTACAACTTGCGTTAGCTATCGAAGTCGACGGCGAGGGGGCGGTCTACCTCGGAAACATGGCATCCATGGATCACCTTCCCCTCCCCCTCATCCGCCGCGAATAGATAAACCGTCTTGTCTTTGTTCTTCGTCTGCACATGCTTGATTGCATCACTGATGGCCTTGTTGTTGGCCGAGATCGGTACCTTGCCGATGTAGTGCTTGCTATCCTTGTGCTGGGCGAAGTACTCGGTGACAGCATCGAGAACTTTCTTCGACTCGGCCTTCTGCACGGCTTTCTGTTCCTCGAGCTGCGCTTTGAGGATCTTGCCGAATTGATCCCGCAGCTTCGACTTTGTGATCCAGGATATCGAAAGCTGGTCCAGGTCTAATTGTGTGGTTTTGATTTCTTGCTCCTTTTTGTGGCCGTGAGGCATGCGTTCGAGTTCTTCTAATCTCTTCTGAAATTCTATGGCGACTCGTTGCACCGCGTATGCATCTTCGCCAGTCACCGCGACGATGCGCCGTATGCCCTTGGCGATACCGCTCTCTTCTACGATGACGAGCTCCTTGATATCACTGGTTTTCTGCACATGAGTTCCACCGCAGAATTCCACGCTCACTTCTTTCCATTTCGGGTCTTTGACGTTCTGGAGGAGCTCTTCGACCTCGACGCCAACGGATACAACTCGAACGGGGTCCGGGTATGTCTCGCCGAAGACAGCGCGGAGCCCCTCGATTTCTCTCGCGGTAGCGAGAGGTACGCTTTTCGAGTATACTTGGAAATTTTGCCTAATGTACCTGGTCGAAATATCTTCGATTCGCTCCAGCTCTTCGATTGAAATGCCTGCTTTATGCGAGAAGTCGAACCGCAACTTCTCCGGAGCGACAAGAGAACCTTTCTGATCGACGCCGTCTCCAAGAACTTCTCTTAGCGCAAAGTTGAGTATGTGTGTGCCCGTATGGTTGTTACGTATTGGCCACCTCCGGAGCTCGTCGTATTCGCAGATAACTTCGTCCCCAACAGAGAGTGAGCCATACTTCAAGTAGCCAGTATGTAGCACGTAGCCAGCGTACACCTGCACGTTCTGGACTTCAAGTTCAGCAACACCGTCAATGATTATTTTGCCCGTGTCGTTCTCTTGACCACCTTGCTCGGCATAGAAGTTGGTCCGGTCGACGATCAAGCCCAATTGCTCATCACCCGGTATTTCCTTTGTCGATTGTAGGAACTGCTTCGCATGGTAAATCGCCTTGATCTGTGATGTGATGTTCTCTCTTCCGAACTTTGGGTTATCATCCGTTGGCGACACATCGTTCATCTTCGACAGCTTGCCTAGGTCGTGAACATCCAGCTTCACCATATCTGAGGCAGCCTTCTTCTCTCCTCGACTTGCCTCCTTTGCTTTCAGTCGAGCGTCTTCGAACTCCGTATCGTCAATCTCCAGACCTCTCTCCTCGGCCATTAGTCTGGTCAGATCCACTGGAAAACCAAATGTATCGTACAATCGCCAAACGTCAGCGCCATGCAGCTTCTTCGAGTCTTTCAGCTTCGCTTTCTGCGCGTAGTGTTCAAACTGTCTCTCTCCGCGGTCAAGGGTCTTGGCAAAAGATTTTTCTTCTTCATTCAGTATCTCGATGACATCCGACTCTTTTCTCTTGATCTCGGGGTACATATCACTCATTTGGTGCACCAGAGTTGGCACGATCTTAGAGAAAAACTCGCCAATTTCCGAATTGAAGTATTTCCTCGCATACCGAGCACCCCTCCTTAGTACTCTGCGGACAACGTAACCTCTGCCATCCGCATTAGGTGCTGCTCCGTCGGTAATAGCAAAGGTGAGTGTGCGAACATGATCAGCGACTACTCGATAGGCTGTGTCGATGCCGTCTGGATCATCGTCTCCAAACTTGCCCCTGTACTCTCTCGCACCAGTGATCTCTTGTATCTTAGCAAAAAGCGGAGTAAAAACGTCTGTGTCATAGTTCGAAGGCTTTTTCTGCAGGACTGAGACCAATCGTTCGTAGCCCAAGCCAGTGTCAACGTGCTTGTTCGGCAGTGGTCGCAGCGACTTGTCTGGTTCCCGATTGTATTGTATGAAAACGTTATTCCATATTTCCAGCACATTAGGATCGTCTTGATTGACAAGATGGGCAGCATTCCTGCCCCCAATCCTGTCATAATGTACCTCACTACAAGGCCCACAAGGCCCTTGATCTCCCATCTCCCAGAAATTGTCTTTCATATCTCCGGGCAAAATATGGTCCTCCGCGACTCCCACCGACTTCCATATTGTTTTTGCTTCTAGATCTGGCTCGAGGCCTCCAGCTTCGTTGCCTTCAAAGTACGTCACGTAGAGGCGGTCAGGTTCTATTCCGTATACTTGGGTGAGAAGTTCCCAAGAGAACTGAATTGCGCCTTTCTTGAAGTAGTCTCCGAAACTCCAATTTCCCAGCATCTCAAAGAAGGTCTATGTCAAGCGTAAGCGTAAGCCGCTGTGTCGATCTAGTCATGGAAAGACTCACATGGTGGTAGCTGTCCTTGCCCACATCGTCGAGATCCTTCAGATATAAGCCATGTTCTCTCGTCGATGAAGCAAAGGCTTACATTGTGTTTGCCTCCCGCACGTATACACTGTTCCTATCAGCTTTTTGCCCCCAAAGAAGGAGCTCTTGCTGACCTTTTGGGAGTTCACGGCACGCTTGAGCTGCGCAAAGTCCGAGGAAGGGTCGACTGTACCGAGGAATATGGATTTGTACTGGTTCATGCCAGCATTGGCGAACAGGAGGGTAGGATCTGAGTGTGGTACGACGGAGGATGAGGGTACTGTAAGCTGTGTTAGTACCAGTGTCTATCTGTCTCAAGCACCGGTATCACCGAATGTATGCCCATTGTTCTTGAAGAAGTCTATGAAGGTATCTCGCACGCGCACAGCGGGCCACTCTTCCGTTGTTGACCCCATATCCAAAATTGCGCTCCCGGAATACTGAGCGTTAAGGAGGTGTTTGTGCTTCAGAAAGGTTGGTGGCTTAGTATTGTACCGTATCTGTGGTATACGGTGACTCAGAAAAGGTCCGCAACTCCTCAGCACTCCCACACTTCGCATCAAGCGGAGAGCCAATGACCGACGGAGTGGCACGTCAAATGGTGTTTGGTACGTATCTAGACCGATTGAACCTCTTTTCCGGGCTATGGACTGCAAAAATTTGAGGTTACGAGGGTGAGTGGATTTGGCTGATACTCAACCAGGGGTATGAACTCCGCATGCAGAGCCGCAACCACTGACAGCACCAACAAGTGAGAAACTTGAATCTCTTCAAATCATATGAACGCTCCCATTAATATATACCAATACTGGTCTTACGCGTACTTCCATGCGCTGTCTATCCTATCAAAGCCCACTGCACCCACGGAGTCAACCTCGACGGAATACTATATACAAGACAAACTTCTCCTCCTCCTAGCGTCAAAGATACCCAGCAGATGCTCCAGCGACGTATCGTTGAACCGCCCCCGCCACATTTGTCGGCTGTACCAAGTCTTTCCAGTAGCCTTCCCACAACAAAACATTTGTAGCCCATCCGGCTAATTCGTGAATATAGCAATAGCGCCATGAAACATCCACTGCCTCTTCTCCCTGTATGACGATCCGGATGAAAAGCCGACCTGGCAGAGCGCTGGTGTGGATGCCTCTCGTAAATGCTGTACTAGTGGTCATAGAAATATAAGACAACACGTGACCAGCACTCACTGCGGAACCAACTTGGGAATGCGAGCTGATACAGTGAACACTTCCTAAGATGAAATGACAGCTCATGCGCGCCGAACAGAGTAAGCATAAAGAACGACCTACAACCGTAGTTTGAGAGCGTAAGAGTATGACTGGAGCCGAGGGTGAAGGAAATTCGCTCAACAAAGCAAGCATTTAGGCCCTGAAAGATGGACCCCCACATCCACTCCCGAAGGTAAGATGTCGTGGTGAGTAGTGGACCTTCCTGACGGATATCATCTCCTTTGCACCAAAATAGGCCCGAACCATAGATTGAACCGATCCTCAGAGGGAAAGGAGGTAAGGGCCAGAGTGTTGGCAAAGTATGTCAGACTTGGAAACGACACGGCGAAAACTCCTGCAAAGGAACAGGCTATGCTTTGTCCACGCAGACTTGTTCTGATTCATCTAGCTATGAAGAGTGAAAAAATGCCGTAATATGCATTTTCATGATCATTCTCATTCCTCGGGAACTTTTGCGCTGTCAGCATATCTTCTCCTTCACGAGTACACAAAAACCTACTCTCGATAGTCCCACTCTCAATATCGTCGCTAATCTCCTTCGGACTCCTGCCATCAACCTGACATCCCACACTGAAAGCCGTGCCCAGCACCTCCTTGACCGTCCCTGACAATTCCTTCGCTAAGCTCTTGAACCGCATAGTCCTCGCGATGCTGATGATCTCATCGAGCGGTATTGACTTGGTATGCTTGATGTTCTTCTCCTTCTTTCGATCTCGGGGTGGTTCCTTGAGAGCTCTGATGACGAGGGAGGATGCGGAGGGGACGACTGAGACGGCGGCTTGACGGTTTTGGATTGTGAGTTTGACAGTTACACGGAGACCTTTCTATGGATGTGTGAGCAGCCTCGACCGCACCATTGGCGATCTTTCGCGCATACCCAGTCACCAGTAGCTTTGGCAATATCTTCTCCGACCTTTTTGGGCGATAGACCTAGCGGACCGATCTTGGGTGCAAGAGCTGAGGAAGCACCGACTTCACCTCCGGTCGCTCTCAAGGTGCTACAGACATATAAGTCAGCCCAAAGCTGCCGCACCGAAATTGGGGGGATGAAGATTCAAGGCGGTACACACATCTCCTTCACCTCATTGGGATCGAATTTCGGAGCTGTAGTCACACATGTTAGACAGCGATGATATGCATAGGATACCGATTACGTACGCATTTTGAAAAGGGAGTGCTCGCAATGTCGTCGCTGGACGAAGAAATTGTGCAACTGGGACTCTCGAAGTTCTGAAGCGCCAGCATTTGTGGGAGCTATCGATTTTCAGTTTAGCATGGTGTCGATATATCAGCCCTATCAAGTTGGACTTCACCGTTCCATCGCTTTCTAGACACTATTTGATACCGGGGACTTGACTTCCAGCATCATCTATTCTGCTGCGTGATATGCCTCTTAAAGTACCCAATGTCGAGGTCAGCTTCAAATGGGATTATTGGCAATAGGGGTAAGCCCTCGGGCGTAAAGAAGCGGAAAGCCGATGACGACCTGGGGAACGAGCAGCGACTTGCTAAGAGATTCGATTTGCTCAATCTTGGTAAGACAGATCTGTAGACTCAGAAAGCTCTGGGATGGAGGCTGATCCGATCTACAGAGCATAATGGCAAACTCTACCTCCCTGTCCAACAACACCCACCTGCACGCCAACCCCACACTAATGGCAACTACCAGAGCGAGTCAATGCAACTCGACGATACAAAAGACAGGGTCTATATCCACAACCTAGACGAAGAGCTTGCAGACATAGAATCAGAGGAGGAAAAGCTAGTCTTTCTGCCGGACATCGAGAAGAAGCTGGACATGGTAGGCAAGATCCCGAAGTCGGTGCTATTGGGAGAAGGGCACCCTTCTACTGGCAATGAAATGGTGTTGTACAGCGTACCATCGTCTCTGTCGGTACCTGAAGAGCAGGATAAGGTCAGAAAGGCTATCATCGAGAGTAGAGCGAGGGCGAGGGAGAAGCAGTTGCATGGTGCTGAGGCTGAGGCGGCTCCTGCAAGACATGTCGATATATGTGACAGGAATGGGAAGCCGAATGGGCTGAGCAACATGGGACATGTTACTGCGGATCAGGTCATGGGTATTGAAGAGGACGAAGACGCTATGGATCTTGGATAATTTGGCAACGAAATCAATGCTATTACTCCTAATAACCCTCAGCTGGATTGTGACATTGCGGAAGGACAATTGGTGATTCAATTTCGCAGAACAAACTCCGATCTTCGAAATGAAAATTTTCCGAAGGCAGATTTTATTGGCAAAGTGTGGAGGTGTTCAGTGCTTCAGACACTGCACCAACTGCATCCATGAAAAGGTCGCCTGAGTGCCAGTCTTTCATCGGCGTACGAGAGTTTCGCTCCCCTTTCCATTTTATATAATTTCATAACCCAGTCTACAATGATGCACCAGACTTCGGCACTGTCATTGAACGAACGAGAAGAGCGGACGCGCAGTCTAATATGCCGCGCTAGCCCAAGAAACGTTTGCTGGAGATTTGAACAAAGTTCCATTTTGCAACCGGCGTGAATGCCGCCCACGTCATCATCCATTCCGGAAGACTATATCGGCTCGATGTTTATCTGTGAGGATTGTGTCGTATGTTTGGTCTCGGGCTTTCCGGGGTAAGGACATGAGACCTACAGCGGTGTTGCTTGCTTCGGACATGGCTGATGAGAGGCTGGGGCAGCTGACGAAAGGGTATGCAAGCCTTCGATCGTATTGGGTTAGGTGACGTGAATATGCTATTCAAAGTGGGAGTTCTGCTGGTGGTCCGTGATTTCTTTCGTAAAAGCTGATTAGAGGGATATCTAAGGAACAATTAATGAATAAATGTGTCGAGAAAGCAAGTTTTAAGCAAGACTGATACAAGTTACGACCTTGGCTAGACACACAAGAGAAGGAGAAGTCAAGCCCGTTGTCGCAATAGTGGCAATTGGACCGGGTACGAATCGTCATGCTTCGACCAGACCAGTATCATCGCTTCCTGAGGCATGTTCGACCTATTACCCAAAACCGACATCAGAATGATGGGTTTCGGCGCCTCAGACTGCCACTTTTTCGACAGCTTGCCTGGAGTGAATTTTTGATGGCCGGCTGCAGTCCTGGAAGCCGGAGTAGAAGGCGAAACCTCTCACATCTACAAAATTTACAATGCGTATCCAGCTAAGGCAAGCTCAGGTGACTATAGTTACAACAAAACCTTTTCCCTCTCAGGTACTTCGGTCTCCTATGTAGGGGCAACGCATTAAGTAACAAGAAGTGGAGCACTGATCGGGTGTCTGGATCATAAACACATGACAGTAGCATACTCAGTACTGGCGGCCTTACACCTCTGGCTCGAGTTTGACTTCATTCTGTAAATGGGATTAAGGCCGGTAGAAGGCCGAATGGGGTGAGTATCTGGTTCATGTCGTTGGAGACAGAGTCACCATCATGGAAGGGGTTGCAGATGCTATAGGTCTTGGGCAATACCTCGGTGAAGGATTATAAATGAACGCTGCTTCGCTGTCAACAGTGCCTTCAGTACATTTGCGAAGCTAAAGAAGGATGGGCGAATATTTGAAACCAGATCCCTCAACACGACGCCCTGGCTTACGCCCCTGCATCTCCCCTTCATCAGCGGACGTCGAGACAAGGTCTCCCAGGTTTGATACTGCTTTTAAGACAGAAGCGAAGAGCTCCTGCAATCGATGATCCTTGCTGATATCTTGAAATTCGTCCGTCGCTCGAAGCCCGCTTTCCACGAAATTCATGTATTGCTCAATACGGCGGCATAGAAGTATCGAGTCCGAATATCTGATGCAAAAAGCTTGAAGAGCCGCTTTGGCCGCGTCATCTTGAGAATTTACCAGCCTAATGATTGTCAATTGGATACCAAATGCGTCGTGCTGTACATCACTCACGGATGGGTTTGTAAGTCTTTTGGAATCAAGACCAAGATCCCTCGACCGAAAGCCCCCGCGAGAAAGAATTGCTCATCCCCTTTGCAAGCTCAATTCTCAAACCGTTCTCCAGCCGCTCCTGCCCAACAGCTGTTGGCACCGTGTCTCTCTGCTCATTGGATTTTCCCACGAGGTACGATCTGAGTAGGTTGTGTTCCCCTTGATACTTTGAAGCTGGGCCCAAGGCCCTTCTCAGTCTATTTTCTAGGCCCGGGTGCTCGGGATAAAGCCTGTAATATTCTCGGGCAAGTTTGAGCCTAGCAATGCAGACCACATAAGGGTAGCAAAGTAGCGTCTGTGAATGTGCAGGTGCTGACAACACGCTCATCAGTCTTGTGTAACAAGTGTAGACTTCTTCCAGCTTTGGAAGCACGATTATCTTCGGCCATGGAGAAGGGTCCTCGCAGCTGGGCATTCCGATCCGAAGCTCGTGATATTGCGTCCATATAAGAATAAACAAGTCAAAACTTGATCGACTGAACATCTCCTGTACAGCATTGCGAACCTCAGGGTGGCCGGTCAACAGGGTAGCTTCCCCTTTGTTATCCACAACAGGAGCTGCAAAAGATTCGGGACTAGTAATTGTTGGATTTGCCTTTGCAGGACCTCTTGGATTTCTTCGTCTGCTGACTACTCTGGCGCTCGCCACCAGTCGAATCATCGCTCCCACGTTTCCGAGGCTTGGTAGGGCGTGTTGCGACCCTTAGAGGTGGCAAGGCATGATCGAACAATGAGCTAGAAGGGCTAAGCTGAGCCTTGATCTGTATCAATTATTGTCAAGCTAGTCCTCCAATCGCGACGCGGTACATGGGGCAAAAAACTAATGGCAGAAAGGAAACCAACCTTGGCCAGATTCTCGGACAACAGTCTTCGTGTATCAGAATCTTTGATCGATTCTCTGTAACACCCTCCGGGCAGTTTCATACAGGAACCCGAGATGCACTTGTATCTGTCGTAACGATCAGTTCGTGAAAATGTCAGAATGGTTGACTACTATACATCTGGTGAGCGTATACAGCTGTCATCTACCACAGCATAGACCAGCAGGTCACTCAACATTCGCACAGCTGAGTCGGCGCAGTGGCTCGCGCTATCAGTTGTTGAACTGTTTGCTGGAAGCTCACTCACAGTTTCCGCGACTGACGATATTAGTTCGACAAGTTCCAGGACGGCAGCAGAGGATGAGTCCTGGCAGCCGTGTAGGTGGTGGGTGTAATTTGAAGACATGTCCACAAGCGTGGAAGATGGCAGTAGCGGAACGTTTCGTTAGAAATGGATTGTGAGCAAAAATGTTCCAGGTGTCACGGTTGGCTGTTGTCAATGGCCTCAGTGGAAGATTGACTGTTGCAGCTTTAAGCGAGATTGTTGTTGATGTCTCTATCCTCTGCCCACTGTGCTAAGGAATATATGCAAGTCACATCCGGAACACCACCATAAGACCGATGGTTTAGCCGATACTCCTCACGACGCCAATACCGCTGTTCACTTAGCTGCTGCTTATCCCGAAAGGACTTGACACGCGAAGTAGACTATGGGCCCCCGTCGTGCATTTCCCAGATGCACGATCCCCGCAAGAAATAATCATTTGAACGGGTTCAACCTCGACATCAGCCCTGGGTTCTCTGTCTGGACATGTGATTGCACAGTAGTATTTTCCTGCCCAGCCTCATCTTGATTCAAGGGCACAGTCTCCACCGTCCTCGAGGATTCCCCAGCTTCATGACCAGGTGGCGGACCAGGAGGTGGAACAGCAGCCCAATCTTGATGAGGATTGGTCTTCGAGCCGCCATCCGGAGGTTGATAGACTGGCGGTGGTACATGATCGGTGTTGTAGGCTATGCCGTCAGCCTCATTCCTGTGAATCAAAGACTTTATATCTCACCTGGAGGAGGATACGCTTGCATTTGATAACCTTCACCGCCCCAGCCAGGTCCGTGGGAAGCATACCGAGGTTGTGGATAGAAACGAGCGCCTTGAGGTCTGGGGACCAGAATCTGTAGAAACTCAGCATGTAGAATGTGAGAGGTTCGTAGAGACATACTCTGTGGTATATCAACGGACGCTGACCTCGCCTCATCCTTCGTTGAGCGTGCATGCGTCCCAAGACAAGCCATAGTACGAGTAGTATGAGAAGAGCGCCAACGACGGCCCATTTGATGGCTACTCCTGTCTGTACCAGTGTAAGCCACACATTTCTTACAGGAGTGGCTACCGGTGCTCACAGTAGAATAGCCCCACGTGTCATCGTCGTCATTGTCATTGTCATTGTTAACGAAACCGTCGGTGTTTGTTTGTCTCTTTCCCAGCATGAAGCCCATCCTTGCTAGCATGTATAAGATTTGCAATCGCGGAGGGAAACCTGGCCTTGGAAGGCTGCTCTTCGGGGGACCAGCTTCTGGGTTGATGAAACGGGCTCCGGAAGAGCAGTGGCGATAGCCTTGCAATCGAGGAGCTTCGGCTTTTTCTTCAAGGGAGTGCTACACTGAGAAATGATTTGGGAGCTTTACGAGTGTTGCGGTTGTTGTGTTCCTACTCGAGGATCTGTGGAATTGGAAAGTGGAGAATGAAAAGAAACTTGGACAACCCCAAGGTTGTTTCCAGGGCGTCAACAAGCGCCAAGCCGAGACTTACGCTAGGCTATTCCTCTCGATCACAATGCCTTAACAGGCTTAAAACGATGAATGTTTTACAATTGAATTTGTGCTTCACTATGTCTCAATATTTTTACAACTCGCCATGCTCCGGGGCTGCTGGTTCCTCTTCTTCTTTCCTTAGTAACGCCTCCGGCAACACCTCTTTTGAGCCTTCCCCAAATCTGATGTTGTCCACCCAATTCTCTACCGAATGGAAATCAAATTTCTCGCCCGGGTAACGTCTCCACCATCCCCTCCTCGCATTGACTGCCACAAGCTCGAAATCTTTTTCTTCTCCAAGCTTCAACGCGTCACGTATAGTAGCGGATGCAGTATTCCTAGAAGGAATAGAGTAGAAGGGAAACAGCTTGCTCTCCCGTTTCACGTGTTTGTCCGCCAATTCAGCTAAGCTTGCCAGAGCCGAGCTCGCGGATTCAGGAAGGACCTCGTCGTCTCCAACGTTGGGCAACAGCGCGAGTATGCAAGTCGATGTCTTTGGGCCAAGGCATTTCTCTTGGAGGTACTTCTCTTCGACGAGAGCTGGAATTGGGTCAGGCATATTGTGAACCAATACTGGCTTTGGTGCGTCAGGAGAGGCGATTGGGTCTGGAGACTCGGTAGGGTTACTTTCGTCCTCAAGAGTAACTGAAGTAGCTCCAGCTGCTGCTTCTGCAGCTTCGGCGGAAGCATGCGAAGATGATGCCGCGGAGAAAGATGAGGCGGCTTCTTTTGACTCGGCTGCTTCTTCTTCGGAAGCTTTCTGAGGCTTCTTACCCATCGGCTTCTGTTTCTCTGGAGAAGCCTTCGAGTCCGAAGAGGCGTACTGACTGATGAAGTCTTTCATGTCCTTCTTTTTGTACGCTCCTTCGAACTTCGCCGGCTCCTCAGTTCCTCCAGGCAACACAATGAGCGTTGGATATTCAGAGACTCCGAACATCTCGACAGCTTTAGTCTCTTTGTCCCGGATCTGGGCGAATTTCATGCTTCCGAGATACTCTGTAGCCAAAACCTTGGTTAAAGCGCTTGTTGTTCCCTTATTACTGAAAAGGATGGCCTTGGCTGTGTCATTGTTGCTCTCCAAGAACGCCGACAGACCCTTGTCGGTGACCTTCTTAACATTATTGGGTATGGAAGACTTCACAGCATCAACGATGCCACTTGACGTCCTGGGTCCTTGGTAGTCTTCCACTATGGGCTTTCCTGGTTTCTTCGAAGGCTTGACAATCTTGAGGGTGGGGAATCCTTGGACACCCATGCTTCCACAGAATGCCTTATTGGCCTCATCGTCACAATTGACTGCGACGACTTGGGCAAGATCTTTGAGGCCCTTCGCGGCTTTCTCATATTCTGGCTTGAGGTTCCTGCAGTGTCCACACCACGGAGCATAAAATCTTGGTTGGATTAGTGGTAGAATTTCTGGTTTGGGTATGAATGGCTTACTCTACGATCTGAAAGCTTCGTTAGCTCTCAGCTCGATCAATCCTCCGGTTCGATCTTACCGATACTTGATTCGACTTTGCAACGAGCTTGTTGTAGCTTGAGCCATCGACTTGAAGGACGCCGGAGTTCTTGGTATAGAGACCTTCAGCACTAGAAGATGCCGTTATAGCGAGAATAAAGAAAGCAACCAGAGAGGCTTTTTGCAACATTTTGAAGACAAGAAAGACAGTAAAGAGAAAATCGTAACGTCGTCAACGTTGGTTATATGTTTAGCAAATTGCCAATCCAATTGTGCAAGCTGTCCTCTAGCTGCGGATAAAGATGCGGGGCTTAGTGCGTGCAGGGATTATCTACGTGCATCGGCGATCCGAGTCAATGTCAGTGCTGCACGCTTTAATACTTTGTGAAGGGCAATGCACCCGTTACGGAGTAAACAGCCATGTCTGAAAGCCTTGTCTTCCTAATAGATCAGCGCCATAGCTCAAGATTCTGAAGCTCATAACTCACTGCAGAAGAAAGATGGCAGCAACTATCCCACCTGCCTTGAAGGCAGCAGACATAGCTCGATTCGCCCAGCGGGCCGGCCAGGTGGAAAAGGCCAAACCTGTGGTGGCATACTGGTGCAATTATTGGATCGTTGAGCAGATTCTGGCCAAGAAACTGCACAAGGCAGACGCAGACTGCATGTCTTACACCATGACCCTCATGGACAAGCTCGAGCAGACCAAATCCGACTTCTCTGATAACGATGCTATTATGGATGATATGGCTGGTCAAGCATACATTGAGCAATTCGGCCAAGAAACTTTTCAGAGAGCAGACAACGCTATGAAAGCGAGCAAGGCGTCGAGACAGACCGCAGACACTTTCCAGGCAGCTGCAACATTCTTGGATCTTTGCCAGATATGGGGGCCTCTGGACGCTGAGACAGCGTCAAAGATTAAATTCGCCAAGTACCATGCTCTTCGTATTGCCAAAGCAATCAAAGCGAACGAGGACCCAAATTTATCCAATCCAACCCCAGAACCTGAACAACCGCCTCTCGATCCAAATGACCCGGATGTTCAGATGATAAATGGGCTTGGCGATTTTAGCCAGCATCAGGATGCGTCTCGTCAACCCTCTGTAGTAGAGATTCCTGATGAGCACGATCGACTGCAAGGGCACATGGCAGGACGGTCTACTTACGATGAGTCGTTGCATCCGTCGAGAGCGCCTTCTGTTCCGCCGCAGCCTGCTCAGGCCTATCAGCCCCCTCCTCAACAGCCAGCAGAAAACTATTACCATAGTGCCGCGCCTCCAGAGGTATCTCCATTGGATCCGTCAACCACTGATCGAACCATCTCTGATGGTGGTGGCTACTTTCCCAGAGTGCCCGATACCGATGGAAGAGCTCCTTCATCAAGCTCGCCTGATGCACCTTCAGAAGACCCGAGCTCACCACCAGTGGTACTTCCAGAATCTTCCCCTCTACTACCACCGACTTCGTCAGCTGCTGGATTCCCTCCATCACAACCGCCAAATTCCTTGCATTCCTTCCCTCCGCCTAACATGGATGAACCCAACATTTCGCCACCCTCTTATGCCCCTGTGCCATCGTATGGTCCAGGCCCTCCATCTGCTTCAGCTCCACTTTTTCCTCAACAGCCTCCATCAGCCCCTCGACAAGCGCCTGCGACTCCCATTAAGCCTCTTCCTGCATCAGGTGCACCTGTGAGGCAAGCTCTCCCACCATGGCAAATGGCGCCACTCCCAATGGCTCCTCCTCCAGTCAGTGGTCAAGCAAATTATTTGACCGATGAAGAGGCTATTCTCAAAGCTCAAAAGCATGCGAGATGGGCCATATCGGCTTTGAACTTTGAGGATGCTAACACGGCCGTAAAGGAGTTGAGGGGAGCATTGGAAGCATTAGGCGCGAGGTGAAATAGCAGTCAAGCATTGGATAGCTTTCAAGGCGTGGTTAGCGTGTTATTCATTCGTGCAGTATACCCAGTTAATGCATAATGATTCAGGGCGTGGATAGCAATGAAGTGGCAAGAGTGATGCACCGCAGTGGTGGCAGAGTGATGCATCCTAGAGTGACGCAGAAAGGTATATACTTCTTCTTCTCTTTCTTATACCACTACCGATACTCCTTTGGGCCTTTGCTTGACCCTCTCTGCTTCTTGTATGTTCTCTTGTCTCCCTTATGCCTTCTTGGCCTGCTACAACCAACACATCATTCCACGACTCCTCACCTTCACCGTGTGAGTCCCCCAAAACAGACCTCAATCTATCGTGACTTGACTCCCATTTCTGTATTTGTACATATGCTTGTGAGCTCACTACATTGCTGACATGATGTGATTTCTAGCTCACATATCGACATCATACATCTCCTCACATTCGTCTCCCTCTCCACTAATACGAAGAGATCACTGCCCCACTTTGATCACTAAGGCGGTAAAAGCTCGAGCTCAATAGAACCCTTCTAGCTGTTCCACCCTCTTTCCAACTAAGGTTGTTACAACAAATCGTCTCCCTTGTGAGAGCGTAATCACTGTTTTTGATATTGCTCGAGAGTGCTTCGGGACATTAAAGTCATTATCATCCAACTCACCTTCACACCACGAATACCTTCTTACTCGTCCTCGAGATCACTTATCAAATATGAACCCGAAGTCAACCGACAAAGAAGATACTTTGGAGTATACAACTACAGCTCCAGGTAAGTTTTCCACGTTGTTGTACACTACCTGAAATTGAACTTGCAACAGCCATGATCACTACAGACCCCAAAAAGTGGTACTTGTCTTACAAACCAAAACCTTGCGTCCCACATCACTGCCCCCGTCACTTCTTCGATAAAATAGGCTTCAAGCCAGAACATTCATCTGAGCAGATGCGTACCGCCTTCATCATCGACATGGAGACTCAATTGAACTCTCATAGCCAAAATTTCCTTAGGAAAGTCACAGATCCAAAGGCATTCAAGATCGCCGTGTCAGAATTCTTGGTGGAATGCGGTCCTACCTATTGGGGTGATAGCAAGCGGGATCATCTTCAAGAGCCGGACACACTCAAAGGTTTTCTGTGCCCTCGGGACGCTCAACGCGAAGGTTCGAAGTAATTATTCACCGTGCTGGATTTGGCAATGTTTGTGCTAATCACTGATCAGACTGATTGCGGCCGTGGAAGGTTTCTACAACTACAAAGCATATAAGATGAGTATACGCAATGTAAGCTAATCACAATTTGGTTGTCTAAGGGAATACTGACATGATGGTGATTAGGCGACAAGATCCAAAAATTGTACAGATAGACAAGTCTTGCGGCTTCGCGGCGTCGACCAGGCGCAAAGTCAATTTGATCGACAATCCTGGAGCGATCGAGCCATCAAATTCCAACAAACGCAGCGCAACCCTTCTCGAAGTGGAGGATGAAGAGGTAGATAAGGGGGGTTTGTTGGACGGGTTTGAGCGAATGGAGACCCCAGAACATCCTCGGCTTCTTCCAGATAGCGAAGAATCGACCCAACAGACTCAAATCCTGGACGACGATGCCACAGGTATCTACGGCAGTACAGCTTCACGGAAGCCAATCCTCCCGCAACTGCGAGTTTCGTCAGCTTGCGAACCTGCCTTGATTGCTTCGACTAGGATAACAAAGGTCTCGAAGCGAGCTTTCGCATCCCATTTGTTCCGCAGAGGAGAGCCATCCTCAGGCACCGAAGCTTTAGGCTTTTTCCAAACTCCTCGTCCGCGCGACCTCACACTGCCTGTAACTTCCACGCCAGAAACACTAAATCCATCTAATGAAGATATCTTAATGTTCTCCGATGGTTCTGTTGCTGGCGAGGAGCAGCGCAGAGAAAAGACAACTACCACTCCTCTGGGCACATCAGAGGAAGAGGAAGAGTCGACTGCTAAAAAAGCCCGCGGTGTTGAAGACGTCAAGACAGAGCCTTTGACTGACGACATGAAGAAGAAGACGATGTTCCTTGTTACAGTCCACGACTCGCCAATAGGTCCTGTCCCCATTCCATTCACAGAGTGTGGCAACTTCCATGTTCTCTTTCCTACGTTGATCGAGGAGCGAGGTGTTCCGGATGAGATTGCAAGAAACGTCAATGATATCACAACAATTTTTACTTGGACTGGCGGAGAACTCGGAGGGAGGATAGGCGGTATTCGGAGGAACAAGCCAGGCGATTGGGATTATTTTTGCAACAGTCTACGCGAAGCTCATGAGAGGGATACCGACCATTTTAAAGGCATTTGCGAGGTCGCTATCAAACTGCATATCAATGATAGACATAAAGAGCATTGTTGAAGACAAGATGGTGAAAGACAGATAGAGGATGTCAACTCACAATTCATGGTGCAGTCATGGCGAGGAATGGAATGCGTGGTTAGGAAAGAAACATGCTGCTTCGATGGAGCAAATTACTACTCCAAAACGTTATGTAATCCCAACACTTGCTAGCTTGATATCTGTCTGTGTGGTATATCAGACCGATCATGATAACATTTGTCGTCATATAGATGTCCGGTTGAGACGGTTCGGATTGGCTCAATGCATCCAATGAGTGAAACAGGCAGGTGAGCAGACAGCACAGTACGATAGCTAAGAAGCATCTTCTGGATAGACGTCACAGCAAGATAGAAGAACATGAAGGATGCTTAGAAACCTTTGCTTCCCTGTATCTTATAGACCCAAACTTCCTTACCGCCCGAACAGCCGACTGAACATTCCTCCTGCAAGAGTTTTTGCTATCCCACCAGAATACATAGCGCTCGAAGCCAAAGTCGACGCCTGACTGAACTTATCGCACCGCGAGAAAGCAAGGGTGTTCGTGATCGTGAGGATTAACGCGATGGCTGCAGCGCCAAACCCCATTAGCAAAGAACCAATTACTGACGTTCGTCCCCAGTATGTGCACTTACCATTCAGACTCAGCCAAATCGGGCTTTCCAGCCTCACCAGCGCAAATATAGCCAAACCGACCCAGAGTCCAGGCTGTGCATACAATGCTAGCCAGAAGAACCTGTCGTACCCACGCATTAGCGCAGCTCAACCATTAAGTCTTCCCCCCCGACACTCGCAATAACCCCCTTCTGCCCTTCTTCCTTCTCCTGTCCTCCCTGCTCCCCTCCCTCAGCACCTCCCATATTCTCCACGTACCTCTTATCGGTAGCATTCTGCACCGGTCCTCCGCTATCCCCACTCCTATCCTGACTCTCAAACACCCAATGGCTGTCCCCCGAAGTCGTGTCCACTTCGTTCCACCATCTTAGCCCCACAAGCCTTCGCCCAGCAATATTCTTGAGGTAGTAGAAATCCGCGGCCAGGAGGAGCAGGGTAACGATGAACACGAGGACGAAGCTGGAGGTGAAGAACCAGAGACCGAAGAGGTATATTAGAAGAGATGCTGAGACAATGTCAGTTGACAGAACGGCGGGGCTCCGCTGGGGACCTACACATGCGGAATCCGAGAAAGAAAAGCAGCGTTATGGGATGGGAGCTCAGGCGCCAGTGCAAGTCGCCTTGCTTTGATTGCTGGGCTTGGTTTTCCATTGCGAAAAATGAGGAAAAGAGTGACTAGCAGGAAACGCTGTGTTCCATGAAAGGCCAGTTGAGTACCTTGGGAAACGTAGGGATATTAGGGTTAGGCTTGGCTTCGCTAATCCTAACCCTAACCCTAACCAAGAACCCTATCAAGTCGGCTTCGATTTTCGAATTTTCTTGTCTGAATCATTCCTCCCCACGATTCACATTTCCATGACTTTGAGATGGCTCCTGTAACCCTTCACCTTCGATCCGAAACCAAGCCACTGGAGCACCGCAGTGCTCTCACACCAACAGTAACCCGGAAACTGCTCGACAACGGTTTCAAGGTCAATATTGAGCGCAGTCCTGAACGAATCTTTGACGATAAAGAGTTCGCCTCCGTCGGAGCTACATTAGTGGAGGAAGGATCATGGCCAAACGCACCAGAAGATCACATCATCATTGGCTTGAAAGAATTAGAGGACAAGGACCCTTTTCCTCTGAAGGTAAGCCTCAAAGCATATTGATGGAAGCCAAGTTATCTGACGAAACATTAGCATACCCACGTCGCCTTTAGCCATTGCTACGTTCGTAAGCTTCTTCGCAAGCTTAACAATCCCGGTAGCTGATGATCGAATCCCTATCCAGAAAAACCAAGGTGACTGGGAGAAGGTTTTAGGGCGCTTTCCTCGGGGTGGAGGCACTCTATACGATCTAGAATTCCTGACCGATGAAAAGGGCAGGCGGTGGGTCAATCCGGCTTGCTCTCAAGTAAACTCATCTGACAAAGCTAACACACTATAATCTCTCAGAGTGGCAGCGTTCGGATTTCATGCCGGCTATGCGGGCGCGGCTTTGGCTCTCCTAGATTGGGCATGGCAACTGGAGCACGGTAATAAGGAAGCTTTACCTGGCAAGGGTCATTATCAGTGTAAAAGCGATCTAGACACAGAGGTTAAGGAGCAGGTCTCTAAAGGCGTGCAAAGGAACAAAGGGAAATCGCCGCGCGTGCTTGTTATCGGAGCGTTGGGCAGATGCGGAAGAGGAGTCAGTCGACCTCGTGTTATTCTGGATAAATACACTAATTCAAAAATCATCTAGGCTCTAGAGTGCTGTCGACAAGCTGGCATCCCGGAACAACAGCTTGTGAAATGGGACATGGTCAGTGGAGTCCTGAGCACCTTTGACTCTACTCGATAATATTCAAGAGCAAAAAGCTCTGTTTCGGGAGCTCACAAGAGCATTAACTCCCATGCTGACCCCGAAATTTACTTAGGACGAGACGGCCCAGCCTGGACCGTATAATGCAATTAAGGAGGCTGACGCCTTTATTAATTGTATCTACTTGAGCGAGCCTCTTCCTCCTTTCATTTCTACGGACTTTTTAAAGCAAGGAACACGCAATCTCAGCGTTGTGTAGGTACCTGTTCGCTCTATACAATCTGAGCAGCTCTCAACCCCTTGCCACGGACTGGGAGCGAATCACCCAGAGACCGTGCTCTCTTACCCCTTATCTTGGTCAGAATAGGCGGCTAAAGCTCAGATTCCGTTTAGGTGTGATGTTTCTTGCGACACTACCAATCCTCACAATCCTATCCCCTTTGCCAACCAGCCCACCTACTTCAGCAAGCCGACTATCACCCTGCCGGACTTCCTGAATCCACCCCTGAGCTATATCTCTATAGGTATGTTCACCTCTGAGCGACAAGGACCTCTATTCGATAATTTCTCTACGAAGAAAGTTTGTTTCAGGAACTTAGTGTGCATCTTTATGCTGACTCTACAATTTCCACAGATCATCTCCCATCTCTACTCCCGCGAGAGGCGTCCGAAGCGTTTAGTGAAGCACTTTTGTCCAGTCTCCTCCAGCTACCGGAGAGGGACACAGCGCCTGTATGGGTAGGGGCAGAGAAAATGTTCAAGGAAAAAGTCGCGCTTTTGCCTCAAGCGCTCAGGCAGAGGGAGACGCCCGTTGCAAATGGGGCAGCTAGAGCATAACCATCCAATTGAGCTCGTGCTAAACTGTGGGCAATTTACGTTTTCAGACCCTCGATCTCCATCGAGCGAGATCCCTGTCTGCGGAGTAATAGCCGCTGGAATCTGCTCCGGGAATGTCAGGACTGTAACAGACACCTCCAATTTTCGAAGTGATAAAAGTGCTAGCGCCAGCCTCGTGACGCTCGGTCAGGCCCTTCGCATCGAAGTCGCTCCCATTCGAATTAATTTTCTATATCAAAGAGGTGCTCCTCCGCGATTAAAATATCCGACCAAACGAGCGCCATATAATACTAGCCAACAACAGATCCGGGTGGTTCACTAGACATAATAGAGATTTCTGGGTTACGCAAGAACAAGAAATGCGCTCCAAGCTCACTAAAAACCTCTCCACACGTCCCCGTCTCCTTGCTGCGGCATCCTCCCAGCGAGAAGCTTTGAAGCGTATCTTGGCTATGCTGAAGTAAGTTGAATAGACTACTAGGAGCAACGCAGGCCTCTTCAAGGTGCAATGAATGCAGCATCAAGTTCGCTTCCTTTGCAGTCTCATAGAGTGAGCCCAGACATCTGTAAATTCCCAAACACCAAGGATAGGTTCTTCACATTAGCGCCCAGCATGACAAGCTCTTTCATTCAACCCCAAATATGCGAGTCGATTCTTTGCAGACTCAACTCTTCCACACTCTCCCACCCAATCCTAAAAAGTGCTTGCTCGAATAAAGCAGGATCAACGGTCTTCTTATCCATATTTGGACCGTACCCCGAAAGCGCCGAAATTGAAGCGAGTCTTGGTTCGTAAGCTTCACTATAAACCCCATGCCTGCGACACAGGATTCAACACAATACTGACAACGTCCGTATCGCAGAGATCACCGTACGTCAGATCCTCCTTGACATCGCGGCCTACAATCTCAAAGGGTCTGCAGGTGGGGATTCGGTGCAGCATGATCTCTTGCAAGACCTGTGTTCCTTCCGTTGGAGATCTTATATCCCCATTGGATCATCGAGGCCAGTCGAAACTGTCGCCTAAACAAAGCTTCCCTTCTGCGTCTGCGTCCGGTGAAGGTGCGATGCGAAGTTTTTGGACGCTGCGTGCTAGGTGCTCGTTTTGTGCGATTGTTTCCAATTCTTCAAGACTGTCTACGGAGAGACTTGTGCTAAGCACTACGAAGCATTTTCCACCGAAGGAACGGAGACACCAGGCGTAGGGGAACATTCATTCAGCACCGCCCTTATTGAAGAGCTATTGAAGAGGGCTGACGAGCCTTTCAATACAAGTCAGCTTCATTATCGTATTGTGACCAGACTACGGACTTGGGCTCCAGATCGTTATGAAGAGCAGAGAGAGCATCCTGTACTAGGCGTCATGGGTGAGGGAGGTCGACGAAATGATTCAATTCGAGTTGTTTCCTATAGGAAACACTCAGTAAATCTTATTGCGTGAGTAAAAAAATGATGCATAATATTCATGCCAAAAATATTGACATGTTAATGGGTGCCACAGGCTATGGCAAAAGTTTGGTTCGGAAGCCTTCTATCCTATGTTCAACAACGTTGACTGACCAACGCTCCCCAGCTCGTCAATAAGATCTGTGGCAGAGAGGTTGCTGATGTTGGCGAGGGTCAGTATGTGACTATCGTCAATGGAGAAACTATTACTTCTATTGATACTCCTGGGTTCGACGATACCTATCTCAGCGATGGAGAGGTACTGGAGAGAATTGCGATGAGTTTGTTTACGCAGTGAGTTGTTACTTACATATATATTGAGGTCTGCTCTGACTTAAGGACTCACAGTTACAAGGGCGGACACAAGCTCAGTGGCCTGCTCTTTCTACGAGACATTACTATGGGCAAAATGACGAATACTGCACTCAAGAATCTAGACATGTTTCACCACCTCTGTGGTGATCAGTCGCTAAAGAACGTGATGTTTCTGACTACAAAGTGGGACAAAGCGTTCACTCCTTTTGCACAAAAACACGAAGAAGAACTTACGAAGAATTTCTGGTCTGGCATGATTGAGCTAGGTTGCTCCCGGCCAAAGCGGCTGGGTGGAGTAGCCAATTATTCCTCTGGCATCGTTGATCCGATCTCCGATGTTATCGCACAAGTACTCAAGTTTCAGCCCAGCTGGTTACTGATACAACGTCAGTTGGGAAGTGGACAACATATCCTTGATACTACAGCTGGTCAAAAAGTCGACCAAGATCTATCTTTAGAAATCAAGAAAACCCAGGACAGCTTCAATTCAACGTTGGCCCAGATCGAGAAGTCACATGAAGATACAATACGGGCTGCTTTGCGGGATGAAGCCGACGAGTACGTACGTGAGCTCGCTGAAGCCCAGGAACATAAGAAGGCTTCGGAGGTGAGTTTTGAAAAGGTAATGAAGGCAGAGGAAGAACGACTTATGAAGGTGGAGAAAGAACGGCGCGAAAAGGAGCAGGAAGAATGGAATAACAAAATGTACAGATACGGCATAGATGCGACGGGTGCCGTTCTTGGTGCGGGCGGTTGGATGCTCTTTGAGGTTATCGGCATGCAAATATAGATGGCTGGTTCTTTGTTGAAAGATGGGGGACTATTCACGCCTGTCAAATTGTTCCGAGGCACCAAAATCCAGAACTGCAGATAAGCAAGAGTTTGATCAGCCAAGGCATGTGCAAGATCATCACAGAGGTAAATTCGCCGTGAACCGAGGGGGTCATTCTCAAAAGTCTTCGATCCGGCCGGAAAACTCTCCACCGCATCTACAAAAATCCACTTTCTGTAGTCGGGTAGGCCCTCCTAGATGAACAGAGCCCTTCGGCAGAATAGAGTCCGGTAGCTGAGCAGACTCATCGTGGAGCCAATACTCCCTTACCCCCTAAGCCACCTTCTCCTCCAACGTGGTCGTGCACGGGACTGCCTGTTGATGCATTTGCACAGAGTGTTAAAGCGAGATCGCGCCTATCCGGTTATCTGCAAAGTGAAAACTTGGATAGCATCAGACCTGTTGAACGGGCCTTGGAGCTCCGATGTGCGCTATCCGGGCTCGTGCGTCTTGGCATTCGAAAGACCGCCTTCTTAGATTCTGCTGTATGCTATCTGAGAAAGGAAAATGGATGTCGTATGATACGAACGCCGATAACGTCCCAAAGAAGGCAACTGAGAGAACATGTCTGGGACAGAAGTTGCGGAAAAGAAGGACTTCATAGCAGGTACTAGACGTATCGGTCATGAGATAAGGTTCCATCGAAAAGAGAAGTAGTTTGGCGCTTTTGAGCAATTCCACCTTATGTCGTGAACGCTCTAATGAGTCGCATAATGCCCACCAGCACCACTCTCCCCTTCCACCGGCGCCACCTTCCTCTTCAACAACGCCCCCAACCCCTCCCTCCTCTCCCTCCACCCCCTCCACCCTGTCCTGCCCCTCCCTAATCTGCGCCCCCAGATACGCCTTGTGCCAGTCCCTCAAGCTCTCGAAGCTCGCCACCTTGCTCAACTTCAGCACCCGGACGCGGTACTCCGACAGCGCCCGCTGCAACTCTATCTCCTTCGGCCCTCCCCGCGGATCCGCCAGGATGCACAGGATCTGGCCGTAGATCTCGAAGCAGTAGAGCAGGTGCGCGAGGTCGGAGAAGTTGGGGGCGATGCGTCTTGGCGGTCGACGTCGAGCCAGATTAGGCCTTCGGGGTGGATGGTGCCGCGGAAGATTTTGGTGAAGTAGAGGGGGTCGATGTTGGGGAAGCGGGCGCGGATGAGGGGAATGGTGGAGTCGTAGTCTGTAGTGAGGAAGGAGCTGCGGTTGGCGTCGGTGGAGGAGACATCGATGGGAGGGAGGGGTTCGTTGGGCTCGGAGTAGGGTATGGGTGGGTAGAGAGGCATGGAGCTGATTGGATAGATTGTTTAGAAAGAAGATTGGAAGGCTACTCTATGAGTGGGATAATGATGGAGGAGATAAATAGATGGTCGCCCTATTTTTTTTTAGGTGTATGGGCCGATA